AAAAAAAAAGGGAATAGTAAATTTTGGCAGGAATGATGAAAAATTAAGATCATACAATAAGAAAAGTATAAAAGAAATGACCTTATGTATGTTATTTATAACTTAAAATCTCATTTAATTTTTATTATATTTTTTACAGTAAGATATTAGAGAATAAAATTACTAAAATTAATGTAAAACATTAAGAACTCATAATTATAATTAAAAAATAAGTAATCAAATTGAATATTAATCTAAAAGTAGTAAAGAATAGTATGGAGATGAGTAGATTTATTAAAGCTAAATTAGAAATAATAATGAAATTCAAAGAGCAATATGAATAAATATAAAAAAAATATACGTTTTTGATTATTAATATATAATGAAATTCATTGCCTTAGCTATGTTGGTGATGCTAGCAACATCACAAGAATTCATAGAATTTTACTCTGCATTTTAAAATTCAGATGTAGCTTAATTAGATGGATGGACAATATAAGGGTCATTGTCAAAAGCATAGGCTGATAATTTCTTTACTTGTTCAGATGCCTCTGTTTTTGGAGGACCTAAAGCATTTGGTAAAGGAGCAATAGTTACCAAATAATTTTAATTGCCTCCTCATTTTTAGATTAAAATATCTGTTGAGGTCTGGAAGTATAGCAATTTTACAAATCTAGATTTGATGCATGGGACACTTAAAGATAATTTTTTTATTTGGATAATTACCTTTGGGAAACAATGTGGACTGGAAGTGATGGAACAAAAAGATGTGCAACTCCAGCGGGTGGTAATGTAAATTCATTCTAAGTTGATTAAACAATAACTCATAATCATGCAGCATTATTTATTGCATTTGCATCTTCAGCTGATAAATCAGCTGATAAAGTATAATCTTTTTAATAATCTTTAGATGTCATGGGGTTTTAGAAACTTGAAATTATCTTATTTGCCATGTCCAGCTGAATGTGGTACATGTCTTGGACCAGATGCAATTGTATGTTAAATGTGGGTACCAGTATCATCAAGCTGGATTAAGACTATAGAAGCTGATGGATGGAGTGCAAAAGGATCTTCTAATGTTATTAAAACAAGTACTTGTGCAGGAATTCCAATTGTTGGTGGTCCTGGTAATTTTGGTAATAATGTTTCAATTTAAAAAATATTTGATAAACTTGTACCACATTATAGAATTAAAGTGATAGCATAATTTTGGAAGATTGATAATTGGGATAATGATAATGCTGTTTTGTATATTGATAATTAAGAAAAATGGAAATAAAATGTAGCTTAAGTAGAAGATAAAGAATTCTTCATTTGTGATAAGATTACTCCAGGAGGTGTTGATGGAACAGAAAAGATTATTAATGTAAACTTTGAATCTCCTCATAATTATGGTGCTGCACTTGTAAAATGGACAGCCACAACCAAAAAATCATCAAAATAAGCATCTTGGGGTATAAGATAATTCCAACTTTATGTTGCATAATGTTCAAGTAATTGTGCAACATGTACTGGACCAAGTGCTGAAGATTGTACAGCTTGTGTTTCTCCTTATATATTATTGGATCCAGAAGATGGAAATGGTTCAGGTTGTATATTAAAAGGAGATTGGGTTGAATTTACATCAGAATTTTAAGGTTCTAGTTGGACAGCTAATGAGGATTGGAAAGTAAGTGATGGTAAAAATGGGCCAGATTTTACATCAACATGTGGAGAATTCAAATTCTTTGGTGGTTATGAAAAAACAGGAAAAGATGCTAAAATTTCAAGAAAATTCAATTTACCAGCTCATAAAAGAATTAGAATTGCATTTGAAGCTTGGAAAATTGATAATTGGAATGGAGAAGATTATATTGTTAAAGTAGATGGATTAAGTGTTTGGTAAAGAACATTTGGATTTGGAGATCCTGGACTTGCTGATATTTGTGGTGGAGATGGATTTGAAAATTATGCTATTGTTGATTTTGTTATGGGACATGAAGCATCTACATTAGATTTAGTAATATCAACAACTATTGGAAAAAATAATGATAATGCTTCATTTGCACTTAAAGGATTTAAACTATTTTATGAAAAACCAGATTCTTGTGCTACACTTTATACAGAATGTAATTATACAGGTATTTATTATATTTATTTGAATAGGAAAATCATTTAATATGTGTGAAGATTTACCTAATTTCTAATTAGCTAAATATCCAAGCAAAATCAAATCAATTTAAGTCCCAGCTGGAGCCAAAGTGATTCTTTTTGATGAAATGGACTATAATGGTATACAATATGTATATATATAGGAAAAACAATTGAATACACTGAGAACCAAAAATGCATTGAGGAATATCAATACAAATTCCTTTAAAAAAACTAATAAAGCTATGTCTTAACAGCAAACAATTGATCGGATATTAAAATTTTATTACATTATTTGCAAAAAATAATTTTCTTTTTAATTTAAAAAATAAATTTAGAAAATTTAACCTCAGTTTTAATAATTTTCGTACTCTCTTCTCAAGAGTCTTTTATTTTTTTTTTGATTTCTCCCTTCCCAGCTTTATTTTTGTAAAATATTTGATTATCCTTAATTATGTATGGAATTTACTTAATAATAATAGTATTAATTATAATTTATATATTAACTTTCTAAATTACTAAAGGTAATAGGTAATAGACACTAGTCATAATAATTAATTAATTATTATAATTATACAAAAATTTATCTTAATCTATAATTTATTATATTCATTTCACAAATGTTTTCTTACTAATTTTCTCATTTCCTTTTTTAGAATTATGTTTCTTATGAATTATGGTACTACAACAGCACCAAAAAACCCTTAAATTCTATGAAAAATATGTCCATGTGTTGAATATTCTAATCCTAAACGTTATCTATTAATATTTAATTATGTATTTTACAAAGCTCCTTTAGCAGCCTAAAATGGAGATATGGCTCCTTATCCTTTTTTGAAATTAGTCATTGGTGTTGTTACATACATAGGTCTATGAGCCAAAATATCAATATTAGAATATTCAAGTGCTATTGATCTTGAAAAGAAATCATCAAATGCTTTTGATGCTGCATATGTTTGATTATAAGGCATAGGAACTCTTCCAGTAAATGATGATAAATTAATTATTGCAGATCTCTTTCTTTTGAGCATATTAGTTATTATTTTCTTTGTTAAAAATACAATAGGAAAACAATTAACTGTAATTATTTCTTTTAGTTGATTGTCAGTATATTTCTCTAATGGAGCTTACTATAATAATAAAACTAAGTTTAAACATGTGAAACTCCAACATTATTTATTAGTAATCCAATATCCAAAGTTTCAATTTATTTATATATTTTATCAAAAAATCCTTCTTCTAATGATTTATTGAAATCAACTACTACAATCTTAAATTTTGATGTTGATCCATTACTTAATTCTTATATTAACTTTTTGGCTTTCTCTTCATTTCTGATAATCATACAAATATTCACATTCTATTAAGCTAAAACTTGGCAATAACCTTTGCCAATTCCATCTGTTGCCCCTGTCACAACAGCCCAACAGTCCTTACCATATTTAGCTTAAATATTTGGAAATGGTTGCAAACATTTATAGATTTCTTCTAAAATTCTAAATACAACAAAAGCTATTGTGATCAATCCTATAATATAAAAGAACATATTTAAAATATATAAATTTATGAAAAAAAAATATTTTTAAATATCTTTGTTGGTGACAATTTAACACAAATTCATAAATTGTATCATTAATTCTTTTTTGCTCTTTTAATCAATATTTACTTCAATTATCTTGTTCTAACAAATTATGGTATAATATAAGTTAAAAGAAAACCCATGACTCTATGATACCAATATCCATGGCTAGTCACTTCCAAACCTAATCTTTATAATCCTCCTCTAGCACATTGTTCAGGAGTTATGGCTCCAGCCTCTTTTTCATAATTGGTCAAAGGAGTTGTGACAAAAAAAGGTCTGTGTGACAAAATGTCTATTCCCTCAACTTCAATTGCTAAAGACTATGTAAAATGATCATCAAAAGCTTTTGTTGCAGAATAGGTTTGATGATATGGTAATGGTAATCTACCTGCAATCGAAGATAAATTGATGATAGCAGATCTACTTTTTCTTTATTTCATAATTGGTAGTATCTTTTTTGTTAAGAAAACAACAGGGAATATATTAATTGTAAGCATTTATCGTATGTCAACCTCTGATTGTCTCTCAAAAGGGTTTTTCTTTATTTTAGGAATAAGAATATACCATAGAAACTCCAACGTTGTTTATAAGTATACCTATATCAAGATCCTTAATTTATTCGTAAATTTTATCAAAAAAATCTACATCTGAACATCTTATAAAATCTGCTATTACAATTCTAAACTTTGATGATGATTTTGCACTTAATTCTTAGATTAACTTTTCTCCTTTTTCTTTATTTCTAATAATCATACAAACATTGACATTTTATTTAACTAATTCTTAACAATAAGCTTTTCCTATTCCATCAGTTGCCCCTGTAATAACTGCCCAACAATCTTATCCATATTTTTTTTTAATATCTGGAAATGGTTGTAAGCATTTATATATTTCTCCTAATAACAAAAATACCCAATATAAAACTGTTCTAAGGCCATAAAGTTCTATAATCAGAAATAGATAATCAATCATTAACTTAAATGAATTAAAAATAATATTTTGCAATAAAAAAATGCATAATATTTCTATTAACAAAATATATTTCCTTTAGTTTTCATCCTTATTTATTCTTAAAATATGTTGGCATCAATTTATATTATATTCCAATCTATTATATATTATTATTTCCTATATTTAAATTAATGTATTGGTATTACTTATATAAATAATAGAACCATTATAAGAACAAAGGGATTAATTTAAGTAGAAGACTATATGATAAATATTTTCTATTTTCGAGATTTGAATTTTAGATTATAATTTAATTTATTTAATTTATTTCAATTTTACTAAAGGAGATCTTAAATATTAATTGTTGAAGAGAATTTAGGCTTAATTCTAATTGTAGATTATAAAAGTAATTTTTTAATCTTTTTTTGTTGTTCAACTACATCAATGTTATCCATAGATTAACTTTTTTTAAAAAAATTTACTTAACATTATCTTTTTTTAACTTTGCTTTTTGTTTGATTTTAAATTAATTGAAAAAATTAAGTAAAAGAATTAAGTTGATTAATTTCCTGTTATTTTGTTTCATTTTATAATTAATATAATGATTAACATTTTTATAAATGAGGTTTTTAAATTGTTTAATTATTGAGAGATAATTAATTTTTGAGACTTGAGTTATTTTATTATTTATCAGTCAATTTCTTATTATTTTATTATTTAATAAGATTTTCTGCTATTTTTTTTACTTGCCCACAATTGGATTCTTTTACTGAATCAATTTAATCTAATTATTAATTTGTATCTATTGATTAACTTTTTATTAATCTTCTTTTATTATTTTAAGGAATTTCTTCATATTAAGTACGATTTGGACATATATTATTACTATTGATCATCAAACTACTATTATTGTTTTTACATGAATATTCCATGCTGCTATTTATAAATGTATTAAGTTCTATGTTTTTCAAAAATTTCCATTAATGTCCAAGATGAGGTAATTTAAGATAATTTGGTATATTTTTATTAATTTTCATTATAATATTAATTATTTCTTAAAATATATAAAATGCACAATTTTGATAATAAGATTAAAATATATATATATCATATTTATAAATAATATAATTATACAATTTTCTTATAGAATTACATAATTTAACAATATCATTCTAATATCTTATTTACAAATAATATTGTTTCAATATTATATAAAACTTTCATATAATTAACTATCATAAAATCTAGTAAAAAATTATTTATAATTTTTATAAATATATGAAGGGGATCCATTGAATTTAGTTCTATTCATTTCTTTTTTTGTCCAATTCTAAATTTATCATTTTTATTACTTATGATGCATTTCTCCATGTAGTATATATAAATGGATTTAAGTGAACCAATGTTAAAACTAAACTAACAATATTTAAAATAATGAAAGTTAGTTCTTTCTTACAATCAGATATAAATACTATTATAATTTGAATAACTTCTACATTTATAAATCAAAATAAGTAATAATAAGTATAATGCTATTCCTGTAAATGTGACTAGTCCTAATAAATATTTTATATTTCTTCTGCCAATGCATGTTGCCATTAAAAAACAATGTGCTTCAAAATCATTTACACAATGATCACAAAATTTACAATGATAACAACGATCAATTTTAATAGCTTAGCATTTTTCACATAATTTCCCATCAAAATATTTATCATCTGATATTGTTTACATTTATACTCCAGGTTCTAAAATCTAAATCTTTGTAGTTTACCTGTCATATTCACTCTAAACATTGAGTATATCGATAGTATCTGAAATGTTACAATTACTTTACTTAAATTGGGAATTTCACAATATTTTTAGAGTAAAACAAAATCGCAATATAAGTAAAGCAAAAGAGTCCCAGCTACTGTACCCAAAAACAAAGGGTATTATGTCTTTTTAATGATATCTTATAAGTTTTACCCTATTCCCTAAAACATAATTTTTTCGAACCCATAAATTTCCCTTATAATTTAACATCTAGAAATTTATTATTACAGCATTTCATTTGATAATTAATATCATTTAATATATGATCTATTTCATCAATAGAAACTTATCAACTAAATTCAAAGATATTAGTAGGATATAAATAATAAATATTTGTTTAAGAATTATGATAAAAACAAATTCTTAAATATAATANATTTCCATTAATGTCCAAGATGAGGTAATTTAAGATAATTTGGTATATTTTTATTAATTTTCATTATAATATTAATTATTTCTTAAAATATATAAAATGCACAATTTTGATAATAAGATTAAAATATATATATATCATATTTATAAATAATATAATTATACAATTTTCTTATAGAATTACATAATTTAACAATATCATTCTAATATCTTATTTACAAATAATATTGTTTCAATATTATATAAAACTTTCATATAATTAACTATCATAAAATCTAGTAAAAAATTATTTATAATTTTTATAAATATATGAAGGGGATCCATTGAATTTAGTTCTATTCATTTCTTTTTTTGTCCAATTCTAAATTTATCATTTTTATTACTTATGATGCATTTCTCCATGTAGTATATATAAATGGATTTAAGTGAACCAATGTTAAAACTAAACTAACAATATTTAAAATAATGAAAGTTAGTTCTTTCTTACAATCAGATATAAATACTATTATAATTTGAATAACTTCTACATTTATAAATCAAAATAAGTAATAATAAGTATAATGCTATTCCTGTAAATGTGACTAGTCCTAATAAATATTTTATATTTCTTCTGCCAATGCATGTTGCCATTAAAAAACAATGTGCTTCAAAATCATTTACACAATGATCACAAAATTTACAATGATAACAACGATCAATTTTAATAGCTTAGCATTTTTCACATAATTTCCCATCAAAATATTTATCATCTGATATTGTTTACATTTATACTCCAGGTTCTAAAATCTAAATCTTTGTAGTTTACCTGTCATATTCACTCTAAACATTGAGTATATCGATAGTATCTGAAATGTTACAATTACTTTACTTAAATTGGGAATTTCACAATATTTTTAGAGTAAAACAAAATCGCAATATAAGTAAAGCAAAAGAGTCCCAGCTACTGTACCCAAAAACAAAGGGTATTATGTCTTTTTAATGATATCTTATAAGTTTTACCCTATTCCCTAAAACATAATTTTTTCGAACCCATAAATTTCCCTTATAATTTAACATCTAGAAATTTATTATTACAGCATTTCATTTGATAATTAATATCATTTAATATATGATCTATTTCATCAATAGAAACTTATCAACTAAATTCAAAGATATTAGTAGGATATAAATAATAAATATTTGTTTAAGAATTATGATAAAAACAAATTCTTAAATATAATATATATAATATATAAAATAAAATGTGCTATACATTTCTATTTTAAACTATAATAAATGTTAATATAATTCTTTGAATTCATATATAGACTAAAAGTTTATTCATAAATAGATGAATAAAAATTATAAAAGAAATAAATAGTCTAATATACTTAAATTAAAATACATACTCTAAAAAATAAGATTTAAATAATTTTTATATAAGTTTTAGATATTTTTCATAATAAATATATTGATATTCTTTAGGATTAATAGTTCTGTTTTTTATATTAATTTATTATATATACTTTATAATTAATTATAATTGAAATTGATTAAATGCAATAATTTATATTGTATTATATTAATAATTATTCTTGTTTTTATAAGAATAGAAAATTAATCAGAGTAATGTTAGATTGTGTTTGTACAATCTAAAAATTAGTTTAAATTCTATAATTTTTATTATGACATAACATACTTTGGCAAAATGTGGTTATTATATAAGCCTTGTTATAATAACCATATTTGTTTTTTGTGAATAATAATACAATTAAGGTGTTATTGATCGACTTTTTCACAGTTTTTAAGCCTTTTCTCTAACAAATTCATTATTATTGTACAAAATTTCACTTTGTGTTACTAAAAACTGACTGCTCTCTGATATAATTCTAAGTTTCTGATAATACAATGAAACAATCTGATAATTTTATTTTTTGTTAAAATTCCATTATATTGTATATGCAATCATTAATAATTTTTCAATAATAGTATAAACAACTTTAAAATGACATAATTTTATCAATATAGAAGCTATTCTTGACTTTTTTTTTATCATTTTGATAGACTCATTTTTTTCTTAAAATATTGATACACCTCTAAAATGAGTTATTATTATTGTCTTTTGTAGTGTCTATTTAGGAATTTAACTAATTTTTATTTAGATGATAATAATGAATTCTAGATATTAAAATATATATAAATGAATAAAGTTTGATTAAATAAATCTAAAATTGATATTTTCAGGTTTAGGGTATTAGATTATAAACTTTGATTTATTCTTTCATTTTAACTATGATTTAGCTTTGATTTGATTATTTTATAGTTTGATGTTCATTCACAGGATCATATATTTGATATCCATCAATAATTGCTTATTTTTGAGATGTTACTAGAAGAGTGACCTTAGGTATAAATATTGGAACTGAGTATCTTCTAGCATTTTGATGTTATTAATGAATTCCATTGTATTTGTATTATAATAAATACTCCTCTTAATTTTCTAGTGAAAATTCAAAGCTCAGCATTTAAATAAAATTTAGAACTTGTACTGCACATGTTAATATTATTCGTTAATCAATTGTTACATAATCTACAATTTTAACAATAGTTTCAAACTATTTAAATAATACTATATATATTATACTTCTGTATTTGTATTTTATAGAAATAAATCTAATTTTCTGTGTTAGATTTATTCTTTCAGTTTATCAGTAATTTCTTAAGATGTCATTTCTACATATGCTTTAGAAAGTAAAAAAGATGGAAGTACTAAAATTCCTTATTCCCATGTTTCATTAATTTATATTTCAAATTTAGTAATCCAAATCTTGAAATCATGATGAACTCGATCAATTACTTCACTAAAATATTTTTATTTAAATTGTTTTTCAATAATTAAAATTTAATCTGAATTAGTCCAAATAATGTATGGAGATTCATACATATATTTATTACTTTGTCCAAATTTTGAATATTATTCAGGATTATCAAATGGAATTTTAAAATTATTATTATTTATGTTTTCTATATTTTTATGATATTTATAAGTTTGTTATCCTTATAGTAGTAATAAATCTAAATCATTTTATTAATAAATAAGTCCCATGTATCCACCAATCAAATAGAGATTTTCATCATCACATGTTAATTGTTTAAATATCTTTTCAACATTATTAGATAGATGCATGACAACTTTAGCAAAAATAGTATATACATTTAATACTAATTTTGTGTTATTATTATTTAATGATAAATTGATATCTTAAATCAATTAATTTATTTGATAACTATAAATAGTAAAATAAACAGATCCATTTTCAATATTTGTAGTAAGTAAATATAGACTTTTATTTGAATAACTAACACACATTGAACATGGTTTTAAGTAACCTTAATGAAAATTTTCATCTTATTTTATATTTACATATAAATGTATGTATTTGGTAAATTCAAAATTTTTAATTAAACCAACTATTTCATCTTTATCTTAAAATATAATTCTAGCTTAATAATTCACATTATCTTATTCTTTATATAAGAATTTCATTGCTTTATGCATTTGAGCAAAAGGTTACACAACTTAAGTTCCATTTAAAATAACATTTTTAGCATCAATACTTATAATTGAGATTTTTTGTTTCTAAAATACTTCTTATGGAGATATATTATTTGATATTTTTAAAGTAGTTAAACTTAAAATACCATATGGAGAAAAAGGATCAGTTTCTTCCAATTCCTTTGTTTCATTATTAAATCTATATGATTTACCTAATATTTGAGTAGCATCATTCAATATATAGATCTTGTCTTGATCAGAATATATATTTTAATTTTATGAATAGAAACTTATTGGATTAATTTTTTATCCAAGATTAGTAATTGCACTAACATAATATTGATTATCAATCTTTTGAAATTTATATCCAATATATTCTTATTAATCAATATTTACAAGGAGTTCATTTTAAGATCCCCCAATTATCAAAATAGCAGATTCATCATTGTCTCTATTATTAAATATATAATATAATTTACTGCACACTTAACATTAAAGATCCATACATAGGTCTCATAGATAATGGTACAATTAATTCTTTATTAATTTTTTCAGATCGGTAAGAATCTTCACTTATAAATAATCTTTCTACTAAATTACAAAATCCCATATTCTAATATTCTTGATTATAATGTCCTCTATAGTTTATTTCATATACTTACAGAAATGATCCCCCAAAAGTCCAAACTTCAGAATAAGGCTTTTACTTTTCATCAAATGAAAAGACAACAGAGGAAGCATAAGCTCTAGCAAAATAAGTATCACTCTCTTTTTTTGTATTTTTGTCTCTGTAAATTGTTATGAATGTATTCTAATAATATTATTTATATTTTGATACTTTTTCAAAATTGAAGATATCAATAGAATCACACAATGTGTTATTTTTAGCCTCTTTTCCATAGATACAATAGATAATATTCTTTAATTTATCAAAACATAAAGATCTAAAAAAAACAGGTGGTTCAGGTGTTTCATGGATAACTTCAATTTCTGCCCAAATTTAATTAATTTTTTAAACAGGATTAAGATATTTTTCATAATTCACCAAACATACTTAGTATGAATCCTATTTGAATCTATTAGCTTTTAATAACATCTTACAATTCCAATATCTCTTATATCAATAAATGATAGAACATTGATAAATAGTATACTTTTTAATTTATAATTTACAAAGTACTAAGTAAGTCTATTATGGATATAAACTGGAGATTATAATTTTCTTAAATTTATTTATAATAACTATGGTTCATCTATAATAAATAGGATTGAATTACTGTTATTTATATTATCTATGACATATATATAATCTTTTAAGTCTTATGCTAAAAAAGAAACAAATTATGAATCCTCTCTTCTTTAAGTTTTTTAGTGTTATTTAAAAAGTAACTTATAAGTATGTATTTATTATTAGGTTGATTTGAATAAATTACTAAATTAATGTTTTTGATGATATTGATATAATTTATCTAAAAGTTTAGCATAGGATAGTTTATATTATAACAAATCTTAACATTATAAATTTGGATCTTACATACGTTTATCTTTATCTTTAACTTCTTATAAATATGATTCTAAAAAATAATAATAAAATTTTATTACTTCTACAAGATTCAAGAAATCCTGATAATATTTCAAACATATATCTTTCTTTTTCTTTATTTAAAACATAATGTATAATATTGCCTTACTTTTTTTTTTCATAAAAACTATTACTCTTAACAATTTTCATAGCATTATTAGCATAATGTGATAATTCACAATGTTATTAATTTGAGGGATGTAAAAATTTAAAACTTTATTAAACATGAGTTAAATAAATATTTAAATAGTATAATATATTTTTGTGATCAGTTTTTAAGAGTTCAATTTCAAATCTATGATCTTAAATTTATACACCAGATGATAATATTCTGGGTAGAAAAATCACTTTATAATTACTAATTAATGAAAGATGAGTTGTAATTTCTGTAAATAACTTTGAAGACAATTGTATATCAGATTCTTAATTAAAATATGCAAATGAATAACTAAATATAATGACTTAAGGTTAGAATGATTTTATTAGAGGATATACTAATAAATCTAAGATATGTCTAAAATGCATATCATTTAATCTTTTTTCTTTATGACTCTATCTAATAGGGATAATATAAGAATTCTTAGCTTACATAAAACAATTTTTATCTTTAGTAACTAAATCAAACATTTAAGAGTTATCATCACAATCTAACATTTCATCTAATACTGATATATATTAGCAAGAATCTGAATAATTATCCAATAATTTATAATTGAATTCAAAATCAATACCATCCATATTCAAAAATGTTATTTTTGGTAGATATTTATCTTTTACTTATTTAACATCCTCTGTTCCTTCATATTCTTCTAATATTTATTCATAAAAATCACAAATAGACAATGCAAGTGGATGTATAAATGGATCTAGAATTTACAAAGATATATGTTTTAGAATAAGAGTTGAATTAAATTCTCCTTCTGTTACTTTGTTCAATAAATCATATACCATTATTATAAAATGATGTAAATCAGTGTTTTCATATAGAAATTTCATTAAACTCTCCTTTTAATGTTCTATCTTTCTTGGTTAATCAAAAGATATTTAACTTTAAAATAATGAAGTATGTTATTCTATGTAATTTAAAAAATCTTAATTGTTCATCATTAGATTTACAATCTTTTCTCTGACAACTGTAGTGTCATAATGCATATTGTTGTTGTTTTTTATTATATGAAATGGATTAAGTTGCTGAAATTTAAATTGTTCTTTACTTTAAAGTTATAATCAGCATATTAGAGAAAAAACTTTCTGAATAATTGTACAGCAACAACGGTGGATCTATCATCTAGATTTTCTGGCTACAATGAAGCACCAATTTTAAGAAATCTTCCTGTTCTAGCATCGTTATTAAAAGGTGAACATTTTGAAAACATGAAGAATAGCTCTTATAATTGATTGTCTTGATAGCCCTCTAGTGGCTTACCAAACTCAGATTCTAAATATATAAGATCTTCTTCATAACAATGACTGAATATCTGCTCATATATTTTTCCTAAATTCACATAGAATTGTCTATCCACCTTTAATTCTAATTGATATAAATTTATATACTTAAAGTGCGTACATAACTTAAAAATACATTCCACTTTAATCTATCATCTACAGCCAGATATTATGTACACATCAATAATAATGGTTTTTCACCATTAGGATATAGTTCATAATTATATGCACAATGATTCTAATACAATTTACATATACAAATACTTTCATTTTCAAATTGTCTATACCAGCCACTATTTAAGCATCATTTAATGTTTAATTTAACATTATTATTTATTTATGAATTCACTATTGTAAAGTGAAACACTTAGTTTAACAAAATATGATAAATCAACTAAAAGAAGAAACTCTTATTAAGATGAAGATCTTCCAGAATTTGAAAATACAAAAACTATTTCATTAACAAATTATTCTAAAAATACTGAATCATCAGATTCTAATTATATTTAAACTTTGAGTTTAACTAATTTATCTAAATAAACTATTAGATAATCAAGTATAATAATTTTATGTATTAGGTGAATTTAATAGTGAAAGAACACTCTCTCTTACAATTATGACAAAAATTACTATAAAAGAAGACGGATCAATAAATTATGGAAGAAGATCATATTGATTAAACATTAATGAATTAGAAATATTTCTACTACAAACTGATAAATTAATAAAAAAGATATAAAAATCGTCTCCTTTTACAATAATAATTATTAAATTTAATAGAAATTATCAATCTTTTGATATATATGATCTTCAAATATAATTTATTATCTAAAATTTATTTATAAATCCAACATTTTAATCAAATCAAAAAGTTATTATTAACAATCAATTCAAATATATGATGATTATAAAGTTATTATCTAAAAAATCTAAGGAAAGTGTTTAATATTATATAGACTTCATTTGATTCAATTCAAATATATCATCATAAAACCTTTTTGATATCTATATATATATATATAATAATAATATTATTATATATTTTTATAAGGTATCTTTTAATAATAACATTTTATAAGAACAAATGAAGATTTGAAATTTCTTAAGGTGAAATTATTTTTATTAATTGAATTTCTATCATCTGATCTTTTATATTTATTATAAATTATTTTTTTATTATACAAATTTTCATTCATTCTTATTTTGATTTATTTAATCCCTTTTCATCTAATTCTTGTAACTTCTTTTTAAAGAATGTAGGCAAAAGAGCAATCAAAGACAAACCTACTAATGTTAATATAGCCTAATTAATAATTATTTTAATAGTTTACTTAATAACTAGTAGAAAAATCATTGAGCTCTTAAATTAATAATCCTGTTCTAATATGAATGATATTTCCTGGCATTAATCCTAATTTTTACATAATGAATTACCAAATAAAGTGCCAAAGAAGAAATATTTAAAGGGAAGACCTACAATAGGTCCTGAAACATTAATTGATACATTAGGAATCAATGGAGTGAATCTCAAAAACAACATATAAAAAAATAGATTATCTCTATTCTAATGAATCTTTTTATTGAAATTCACAATTTGATTGGGAAATCTATTTAATACTAACCCTCTTGCCAATGAATAAGATAATCCATAACATAAACTGGCACCAGTTGTAGCACATAAACACACCAATAGAAATGCTGGAATTGGACCAAACAATTATCCTTTAAGAATAAAATAATTTTATTACCTGAAAGCAAACTCAAAAATACAGGTCCAGGAATGGCAAAACTTTGCATAAATACATATAGGTAAATAAAGGCAAATAAAACGTAGAATTAATTATTTTCTGCATATCTATTTATTACATTTAACAATTCTGCTATATGATGAGGATATTTAGGAATTCTATAAACAATCTTTCTCTCTTCTCTATTGATATATAAATCTGTTTACTATGTTAAATGTGGAGAAAAATGCACTAGAACATATAGACCAATCAACCCAGTAGCAAATATTCCAAAGAGAATTAATCTTCTTTATTTGTCATTTTTTATTTCTGCTTTAAGCTTATTTATATCAATTTCTGTACTCATATTATTTTAATTAATATTTTTTGCAGTTATTTTTAATTTCTATGGGAAATTGTGCTACATGTGATGATCCATCAATTTATGAACATGCAGGAGAATAAATGAGACCTTTTAAGAATAAACCAAACTTGGAAGATTAAGAAAATGTTTAATAACTGACTTAAAAAAGTAAATTATCATAGAGTAATATTAAATCTCAGAATGCTAGTTTCATAGTATAATAACATATTAGGTTATTTATAATATAATATTTTTAGATAAGACTTAAAGAAATTAGATTCAATTCCTGACTTTACCAATGCTTTTACTAAACCATTAATTGATTAGTTATAACCATTTAATTATGATCAAAATGAACCGTTTGAATTTAAATCATTACCTTTCTATGGACCAGTTGAAATAGAACCCAGTATCTTTTACTATGGATAATGGAAAAATGGATTTAGACATGGAAGAGGAAAACAATTTTGGGCTGATGGTTCAATATATGAAGGATATTGGTTACAAGACAAAGCAAATGGTGAAGGTAGACTAATTCATTCAGATGGAGATCTTTATGAAGGAAAATGGTTAAATGATAAAGCACATGGTTTTGGTGTATATAGTCATAAAGATGGAGCTTTTTATAAAGGTGAATGGTATGAAGACTAATAACATGGTAATGGATTAGAAAAGTGGGCTGATGGTTCTATGTTTGAAGGTACTTATACAAATGGAATGAAACATGGATAAGGTAAATTCAGTTGGCCAGATGGTAGTTCATACGTTGGAGAATTTATTAATAATAATATTCATGGTAAAGGACATTACATTTGGGCAGATAATAGGGAATATGAAGGAGATTGGAAGGATAATTAAATGGATGGGCATGGAGTCTTTAGTTGGTCAGATGGAAGGTAATTATATAATAATTAAATATTATAGACGTTATGTTGGTGGGTATGTGAATGATAAGAAGGAAGGATATGGAGAATTCTATTGGCCAGATGGAAGAGTATACAAAGGATATTGGAAAGATGGTAAACAACATGGAAAAGGTTAATATAAAGGAACTAATAAAGTTTTGAAGGAAGGAGAATGGGTTGATGGAAAACTACTTAAATGGAACAATTGATATTATATTATTATATAACTAACTAATTTAAGTTTATAAATATTTATTTAAAAGATAATTCGAAATTCAATATTCCTTATCCCAATTTGGATCACGTGCTTTTTCTGGTTTATATACATTTGACGCAGTAGCAGGATCATTCTATTTTAATTAATTCTATACTTTTATTTCCTCAGAGATCAATTTTCCTACTTATATAGCTTTCTATATATCTTTGTCACTATGTAATTTATTTTTAGGTGGTAAATAAGGAGGTTTCAATTCTCTATTTATTAGACTATCCTAATTTTGTTAATAATTTATTTACATAATCAAATCTTTCAAAAAACGTATTATTTTTTAGACTAGCATATGATGAACCAAGTCTCAATTCAGGTGTTTTACTTAATAATTGTTCTATTAATTTCTTAGCTTTTCTGTCTTTTAAAACTGAAGGAAAAGACAATTATTTCTTTTAAATTTCTTCATAAATTTCATAACTATATAATTAATTTGAATAATTTACGGATCATCTGCATCTTCAGCATAGGGTACATTACCACACATAAATTCATAGAGACATACACCAATAGACCATAAATCTACAGAATATGTGTATCCTTTTCCAGTTAAAATCTCAGGAGCCATATAATGTGGAGTGCCAATAATAGTATAAGTTCTACCATTTTTATTTTTTAGATTTTTAGCAGTACCTAAATCGATTAATTTCATAAATCCCTAATTAATAATAAATATTTTTAAATACTTTTTCATCTATCATGATATTTTCTGGTTTAATGTCTCTATAAATAATATTATTGAGATGTAAATATTCCATACATAATATCAAGGATCCAACATAAAATTGAGAATCATAAGTATTAAGTAATCCAATATCTCTAATAACATCAAATAATTCCATTCCTCTAATGTATTCTTCTAAAAAATAAATATATGTATTGTCTTTAAAACTTCTTGCAAAATGCATTATCAATGGGAAATTAACAGTTTCTAAAGCAATCTTTTCTTAAGCTAAATGTTTTTCTAAATTCTATTCAATTATTTAAGCTTTTGAAATGCATTTAAGAGCATATGTTTTTTTATCCAATTTATTATAAACTAAATAGACATTACCAAATTATCCTTAACCTAATTTTTTAACAGATATTAATTAATCTAATTCAAAATGTTTATAAATATCTTATTTTTATCCATCTTCTTTCTTAATAAATCTATCATGTGCTTTTTCATTTTTAGCAAAGATCTATTCTAAAGAACCTCCAATTATTTCAAAGAATTATTTAAATGTAATAACAGCAATCATTCCATCATCCTTCATTATAACAGGTTCTCCCAATTTAACATTTTCTCCTTAATCTAAAAATTTATCACCAAACATTTATCCTTTTTCAAATACTTCTTTTCCATATTTTAAAGAACCTTATAATACAATTATAATTTCTCTACAAGATTACCCTTTTTCTATGATACAATCTTCTGCCTTCTTTTAAATTTGTTACATATTGCTAACAATTCTTTCAACTTATAATTTTGTTAATTTATTAAGTATAGCATGTCTTTCAAATGCCCATCTCTCTAGATTACTATACATAATAAATTAAATTTTATCTCCTAATATTCTAGTCAAATCATCTCTTGCTAATGCTAAAACTGTGACATCTTCTTTAATAGCTTTAGCAGTAGCTCCTCTAACAGAATTTGATTGAAGTGCTTATTCTCCTAAAGAGTCCCCTGCCTTCATAATTCTTAATTCTTTTCCTCCTCTGGATATCTAGATTTCTCCTTTTTTTATAATGAAAAATGAATCTGCTTAATCACCTTCATTGACTATGATTTCACCTGCTTTAAAGTTAAGATTAATCAAAGCAGAAGGAATAGCTGCTTTTTAATCATCAGTTAATGATTCTATATAGGAATATAATAGATTACCAAAAAATGATACTTTATTTATAAATTCTTTATTCTGTTCATAATCTCGTTAAGATATTGATTCAATAGCCTTTCTTACAGTATTTCTATCAATGGCCCAAAATGCACAATCTATAATTCATTATTTTGAATATTTACCTCCTACAGCTTTAACAGATGCTGATCTGGGAGCATTATAAAGTAAAGCTAATTCTCCAAAGGCTTCACCTGATTTGAGTGTTTTCTTAATTTCATTATTGATAATGATTTAGCATTAGCCTCTCTCTATTAAAAAGTAAGAACTTGCTTTGTCCCCTTACTTAAAAACCATTTCACCATCATGAACAGTGCAGTAAAACATAGTATCAATTACTTTAACTCTTAACATAAAATTTGATCATACTTGTCTTCAGGTTGCATTTAACCAAAAATAAAACTATTTCCAAAAGCATTCAATAATAATTGATAATCGAAAGGACTTTTTATTTTTTCTTACTTTTATACATTTTCGTATATGACTTCTTAATCTATAACAGCAGCTATTTTAGCCATCTTTTTTTATTCTTTTCTTTTAGGCTAACATAAATTTATTTCTTTATTATACTTCATTTTCTTGCTTCGGTTAATCATCCTGTATGTTTTATTCTGCTTATTTCTCTTACTAAACTTGTTTCTGAGCGATGTCAGACTTCACTTCTTCAGGTTTAGGAGGTACTACCTATTGAACAGCTGGTGGTTGGGATGTGTTGACTTCATTGTTTTCTTTATCAATAATTGGATTTTATCGACAAATATTGCCCATTAATGTCTATAATAATTTTTCAAAAAAATGTATATAACTAATAAATTATGAAGATTCAAAATTTCTGGTTACTCAATGAATAACATTAGAAACAATAAGAAATTATTAATGAATAATAATAAATAGTCCTTCTTCTTTACATTCATAATTAAGAACTATTTATTAATTATTAGATTAATGAGTTAAAGATAACATATATAATATAAGAATATAGTATTAATATGAAGTTGATCATTAATAAAAGGTTTCATCAATTACATTCCAGCCATCAAGATCATTCCAATTTTCACTCTTTTTTTTTTTGATAAATGGATTTTTTCTTTAGACTACCTTTGTTGTACTAATACTATCTACTTCAGTCAGATATTTCTTAACTTTATTTTTGAGTGAACATTATTTATTCTTAATGACATAAGTAGTTTGATTAATAATATTTTTAGGCTATAAAGGTAATAACTCTGGTGATTTATTAAGATTACGATTCTATTTCTTATTGAGTCTACTTTTCATGTATTTTTAGAATAGAGTTTCTTTGGGTAATTCCTATAAGATTCCTTTCAAATGCATTGTTGGAGTAATTGGTTATTGTTAAAATTAGAGTTGCTATTTATGGAGTTGTTATGATATCATTATCTAACAGTATAATAATATTAATGAAATATTTTCAAAATGGAATTAACTAAATTTGTGCTTAAATCATTCGACCATTAAGAGCTGAATATCAATAATATGATTTAGGTATTTATTATTATCTATTAATTATTATAGGACCTATTTAAGATTTAACATATACAAGAAATGATTTTGATTTAATTAATCATTGTTAATAAAGGATAAAAGTATCACTATTTTAAGGTAATGTTTAAAGTGATATTTGTATCATTTATTTACATTCAGCTAATGGTTGTAGATTAGAAGCATTAAGATATGTGAATGATATCTTGAATTAAAATTATATGTTTCTTACTTTTGATTTTACAGGTAGTGGTATATCAGATGGAAATCAAGTTACATATGGTTATAGAGAAATTTATGATTTGCAGACTGTTATTACACATATTAGTTAATATGTTAAAACTATTATATTATGGGGAAGATCTATGGGTTCTGTAGTTGCTTTGCTATATATGTAATAATTTCAAAATGTTTTTGTCAAATGTTTGATACTTGATAGTCCCTTTATTTGTTTGTAAGATGTATTCAAATTATCCTATTTGAGATTGTAGTATAAATGGCTTCTAAAAGAACTAAAATTCCAAATTTCATTTTGAATTCTTTATCCTCTTATGTTTCAGATGAAATAAAAAATCAATGTGGTTTTACTTTGAATGAGATCAATTGGTAAATTATATATATATTTAATAATATTTTTAGTTTAAATAATATAAAATTTATTAATATACCTGCATTTTTTATTACTTCAAAGATTGATACAGTAGTTTCATATGAATAAACTGAAAAATTATATAATAATTATTAAGGAATCAAGACAATCTATTATACTAATTAAGATCATAATGAAACAAGAGATTTTACTTTAGTTGATTAAATAATGTGTTGGTTAAATCAATAATTATAAAGTGTTGGTTAAAGAATCAAAAAATAAATAATATTTAAAGATCATTCAATTCCAATCAAATTAATTGATCTTAATAGTTTCAATAATAAAGAGAGATCTTCAACTTTTGATGGTACAAATATTATTATTTTAGATAATAGAATAATGTCTATATCTCCAAAATAAAAAATTACAAATGTTCAATAAAGATTTCAATAAGTTTTATAAACATAGAGATCAGCATTCATTGAGAGATCTATTTCTACTAATAAAATGAATGTATCTATAGATGTTTATGATACTAATTAAATTAAATTAATGAATCAAAATAAAATCAAATAATAAAACTATTATAATTAACATACAAAACCTATTACATTTACAAAAGTACCAAATAAAACAAGAGATTCAAGTCATCATAGATATTGAAATAAAACAATTATATTTATTTATTAATTTATTTATTTAATAAATTTCATAAACAAAAATATATAATATATTCAAAAATTTTGATTATAACAAAAATCAACGAATTTTTTTAGGAGGAGAATCTGAATCTTCAACCTTCTTGCAATTTAAATGGAATTCTCGTATTTTATTATCATAGTAATGGTTATACTATGCAAATGATTTAGGACTAGCTGTGTTTCTTTATTTTAATTCTTTTATTGTTTAATTTTCCTTTTGAATTACTAAATTGTATAAATAATAAATATACATTTTATAAAATCCCTTAATTTATAAAAATAATTCTTGCGATGTTCATCATTTGTATCAATTCCTTAATGTCCTATATTTTCAACTTCCCAATATTCATACAATCTTTAACAATTATTAGACAATAATTTTGCATGATGTAAATCAATTATTTCATCTTCTTTACCATGCATTATAAATACAGGACATGTTACATCTTTTATTCTATCTACATTTGGAAAAATATCATAAAAAGGAGTTGATTTTAATTTATTATTAACTACTCTTAATCCTGAACTAAGTCCTGAATGAACTACTAAACCACCAACTGGAAATTCAATATCAGATACTAACATAACACTTGGTCCTGATCCAATACTATAACCATAAACAATTATTTTAGTTGGATCAAATTTCATTTATGAAACCAAGAAATCATAAGCTACTTAGATATTATTAATGATATTAAGATCTGTACATTTGCCTTAAGATAGTCCATAACCTGAATATTCATAAGCAAATATATTTATTCTTAAATTATTGCATAGATCTTAAATAATATCAATTATAATTATTACCAATTAATGTATCAATCATGTAACCTAAATCACTGGCATTTCCATGACTGAACAACATCACATAATCACTCATTGGAAATAAACACTTTATATATAGAGATGCAATTCGATGCCCTTTTCTTCCTTTTAAGAAATACCCAGTCAATTCTAAATTATCTTATTTTGGAATTGGAATTTCTAAACCATGTTCATCAATTAAATAAAAGTCATAAGCTGGTTCAGATATTCTATTCTTTTATAATTATTCTTACTTTTCCTTCATAGGACTTAAACTTTCACTTGTAAATTACATGATTTCCTCTGCCAAATCTAAAAGACCTAATTAATGAATGTTTTCATCATCATAAGATTTAGATTTCTATCTTATATCATTTTCTGAATCAATAACTTATAGTGATGAAGGATTTGTTAAAGTACTCTTTGTCATTTAATCATCTAATCTCGGTTTCAATGAATAACTAACTTTTGGTGGTTAAAAGGCAATATTTTTTAAAATTTTTTATCTTAAACCGCAAAAACTTAAAGACTAAAATATTCCTACTGTAATTGAAGACTTAAGACTCGACATGATTTATATATAATTATTAATTTTAATTAATCTCATCATATAAAAAGTATTATAAATATAAATGGTTTTTATTTTATCAAAAATTAATATATAAATTTTAATTTAAAGAAGGAATAATCTTTATTAATGTTTTCAAAAACATTAAAAAAACATTGCTAAAATTATATATCATTTTACTTAACAATCTAAAGATGTTTGGTCTGATGCTGAATTATTATATCATCCAAAAATTCCATTAAATTTCTATAATGTATAAATTCTATTTAATTTAGGGTTAATGTTCTCTTTACTAAAGCTAAATCTTTAACAGATTCAGAACTTACTATATTTTGATCTCTGCCTTTGGAAGATATCTCACTTATTATAGTATTAAAAAATTATATAATTACTAAGATAGAAAATTTATTGGAATTCTTTTTTATTTAGGTCTTTTGGGCATAACTCTTTGTTCAATGAGATCTGTATAAAGTTAATATCAAAGACTCTTAATGTAATTTATATTTGAATAATAAAATAGATCTATTGATTTGTTACCTTTAGGTAGAAAACTATTAATTTAACAACCTAGTTTATATGGATATTGTATATCAAAACAAATTGATATTGCAACTATTTCTAGACCAAAAGATGTATATTAAAAAAGCATATAAAAAATGGAACATGTATTTCCAGTTATTATGGATACATAACTTGTATATTTACACAGAGACCCTGATTATATAGTTAATAAAGGAATTTTTGCCTGCAGTAATGAATGCTAAATATATCAAAGTTGATTGAAACAATTAATTAATTCTTAATATAAATAAATACGTTAAAGTTTTATATGGATTCTTTATATGAGAAATTAAGACCAGTTGTATTTTAACCACAAATAGCCTCTTAATAGAGATCTTCTTCATAATCTATGTTGAGATCTAATTGTTCAAAACAATTCAATTCATCATGTGAAATTCAAAATTATTCTATATAAAATAGAAAAAATAATACATAATCAAATCAAATCTTAAAAGAAAATACATTAGATACTAATTCTACAATTAAAAAAGACGAAATCATATTTTTAAAATAGAGAATTGCATAATTAGAAAAAATTAGCTCCAATTAAATTAATGAAAACAATAAATTGAGTGAAGTCATCTAAAAATATATGGAAAAAGAATAGTTATCTAATGTAAAATTATTTAGATTAATTTATAGAAATCATAATTATCTGAAATATAATATAAATTTTAAATATAAGAACTTTAGAAATAAATTTCTCTATTATAAAATGAAAATAAGGTATTACTATAAAGTAAAGAACAATATGATTAAATTGAACTTGATAAATATAAAACAAAATGCTATTTATTATAAAATAAAGTCAAATCATTTTAGTAATAATTATTATTATAATAAGAGAAGAAAAAAGAATTACTGATTTATAAAAGAAAGGCAAGAAACTATATTTAGAGAATTAATAATTAAAAAATACTATTTAAGATTTATAAAGTTAAAATTCTACTTTGCAATAACAATTACTCATTAATAATATTGATAATCCTAATTCTAAGTATAAACTATAATTATCAGTTAAAAGGATCATAAACTATAGTTTGAATTAGAATAATAGATCAAATATATGACTCAAATAATAGATTTAGATCAAATTAAAATGAAGAATCTTTAAGAAAAAGTAGAACTCTTAACTTAAGAAAATAGGAGACTCTAAGAAATTACAAAATAAAAATTAATATGAATATAAAGTCATTAATTGTAATTACTAGAAAAAAATATATAAATATAAACAAATGTTTAAATAAATCTTCAATATCTTAAGCTTTGAATTAGAAAAAAGTCTATTATAGTTGAATATATCATTTATTTTATTATTACAATCTTTTTATCTTGAGTACTTATAATTACATATAGAAAATAATTAAAGTCACTCATGATAAGATTTTAATTATATTTTTTTTGATCTATTATATAGATTAAAGATTATAATGTGGATTAGAATGAAATGAAAATTTATAATATTTTTTTTACATGTATATAATATTGAAATATATAAGAATAAGAGTTGATTTGATTATCTTAAAGCTGGAACTCAAAATTATATTTATTTGTTTAGTGTTTAACATTAATTTTTTTAAATAATTAAATTTAACATGCGGGGATTCTTTGCTTTTGCAAAATAATTTGTTGGCTTTTCAACTGTTCAAACTCAATAAATTAAGATTGCAATTAGATTGTAAAATACAATATTTTAATTTTTAGAGTTAATTAATCTGTAAATAGCTAATTTAGATTATGCTCAACATTGACTGCCTTAAAATTAAATAATCTATATGGATTACATTAATCATCAACTCTTGCTGATTCTGATGGAGGTAAAAGTATGTTTATATTTAGAACTTGTATTAGAAGCTGCTATTTAACAATTACTATCATTGTCCCTCAAGGCCGAACTGAATAAAATACAAAATTCCTGATATTTTTATCTAATAATATAATCCATGAATATTATCGAAATCCTACTTCATTATCATTAATATAAAAACTATAACAATATCCGAATATGAACAAAATTGTTAATACAATTATTCATATATATTGATTAACTCAATTTGAAATTCAAATAATAATTTAAGACATTGGTCAATCAATAGTATAATTAAAACTAGAGAACACTTTAGTTTATAAAATTATGTATTTTTATAATTAAATCATTCTTCTTAAGTTTAAAAAGTTTCAATTATTAATCCATCATAATTATTACAAGCCTATCTATATAAATTATTTATAATCTCATTGCCAATCTTTTCAGTAAATTGTTTATAAGCTACTGCCTATTGAATTCAATTATGCTTCGGACTTAGATCATTAGTTTTATCAACAACAATTGGATGTAACCATTTCACATAGGAATTTTAGATGTTAAATTAAAATAATACAATTTTACAATTAATTGATATGGATAATATTATTGGCATATTAAACAAATGAATTATTAATATTCTATAAAATAGACAACTCTTGTTTTTGATATTTCTGAAGTAAAAATTCTCTAAGCTTTTCTAATTTTTTTTAAACAAAAATTGAATCAAATCTCCTTAGCACTCATATTGACAAGTGAATACTCATATTAGAATTTAATCAATCTCAATTTAATCATTTTTTCTATTGTTTGGAGTAATAGTTGCAGTGTTAAGAAAATCTTTTATAAATATGATATAATAAGGGCTATAAGATTCAACATAAATATCTATAGCAAATTTACAATAAAGAGAAAGATTAATAAAATTAAAATTTCATTATTTTTATAAATTCCATGCATCAATCAAAATTCAATTTTCATTTTTAGAAATGTATCCCATCTTTATAAAATCTATATTAAATTTTTCACCTTAAAAGGCTAATATATATTTTATGATTTACAATAAATTATTTATCTTTTAAATGGAAATTAAATTATCTTTAATACTATAAAAGAGATAATGATTTAAATTTAATATTCACTTTAAGAACTATGCTTTATTTAAATATTAATTCGTTAATTCTATCTATCAATCTAATCTTTTCTATTACTACTATATACATATATTATATAAATATATTACACTTATAAATTTGTCTATATCATTACTTACTCCAACAATCATTGAAAAAATTCTTTTTTAATAAGTTTGAACCTTCTCCAATCATTTTTAACATTTTTTATTAAATTCCCTTTATTATGATTTATTATCGTTTTAATGATCAATTTTGAATTTAATATGATATTAATTCCTTTATTAAATTTCTATTTTTATATTCTAATTCGATAACTTCTTTTTTAAATATCATATTAATTGATAAATTACATTTAAACATTTTTTGTTAATTTATTAAAATCAAAATCCTAAGTTATTTAATTAAATTTTTAGTAAATGATAACATATTCTTCCTAATTTTTATTGTATATTTAGTAATTTAAAATATTAATTAGAAATACAGAGATATTCTTTTACATATAAATAATTAATTTTATGGCAATATCTAATAAGATTTATACATTATTTTAATTAAAATGTCAATTAGTTAATTAAGTTAAAAAATATAAATTATATTACATTAATTGTTTAAATCTTATTCCACTATATATTCATGAGTAATATTGGATTTGATATATATTATATATATAATTTTAAGATAATTTGAATTATTTTAATGTTGATTAATATTTTAATCTATTATAATAACTAATAAAATTAGAGACTTTTAAAAGATGATTATTATATTAATATATTATTATATTAATTTACTTATGAAACATAATTAGGATTGAGTTATTATAAATTATAATATTCTTAACTTATTTTATATAATTATCAAAATGACAGAGCCTGCAAATCCAGAAAAGCTATAAAATTAAAGAACTAGAATGATTGGCAATTATTTGATAGGTGATGATTTATTGATTCAGTTGGTTAGGAAAAACTCTTGGGTTTGGTACATTTGGGAAAGTGAAGATGGTAACTCATGAATAATCAGGTGAGAAAGTTGCTATTAAAATATTGGAGAAAGATAGAATAGTAGAGACAGCTGATGTAGAGAGAGTTCAAAGAGAAATTCATATTCTGAAATTAGTTAGACATCCGCATATTATTTAATTATATGAAGTATTCATGATATATATACAAATATTAGATAATTGAAACTCCAAAACATATATTTTTAGTTATGGAAATGGTAAGTGGAGGTGAACTATTTGATTACATAGTAAAAAATACAAAGTAATGATTATATAAATGAATTAGGTTGGAAGAAGTAGAGGCTTGTAAATTATTTTAAGAACTTATAGCAGGAATTGAATATTTACATAAGATTAGAGTTGTACATAGAGATTTGAAACCAGAAAATTTATTACTTGATAAAAATAAGAATCTTAAAATTGTTGATTTTGGATTATCAAATACATATAAGAATGAAGAATTATTAAAGACTGCATGTGGTAGTCCATGTTATGCTGCTCCTGAAGTATATTATTATAATATATATGAATAGATGATAGCTGGTCAGAAATATTAAGGATTAAAAGTGGATCTATGGAGTTCAGGAGTAATATTATTCGCTTGTTTATGTGGTTATCTACCTTTCGAAGATCAAAACACATCTGCATTATATAAGAAGATTTTAAGTGGTACATATTAAATGCCATCTCATTTATCAAGAGATGCTTAATCTATGATCTCTGGGATTCTAACAGTGGATCCAGAAAAAAGATTTACTATTGAAGATATACGTAATCATCCATGGTTTAAGTTATATCGAAGATCATATGAAATTCCACCTGGAATAGTTGTAGGATACAATTAAATCCCAATTGATTAAGATATTCTAAAATAATTAAAATCTTTTGGAATTGATATTGATTATGCTTAGAGATGTTTAGATGCAAATAAACATAATGATGTTACTACATTCTATCATTTATTATTAAAAAGACATTTAGTAAATGGAGGTAGATCTACTGCAGATCTTAACTCTGAATCTTTTGACATTAAATTACTTGAACCAAAGTAGAGACTTAATAAAGGTATATCTTTATTTTATGTAAAGCACCAATCAATTCATTATTGAATAATGAGATACTTAAATAGTAGATGAGAGAGGAAATAATAAATTAAAGATCATATTCAACTGATAATAATAGAGGAAGGATAATTAAAACTAATGAATAAAATCATAAAATATTAGCTGATAATGATTAAAGTGTAAATCGTATAGGTAAAAATGGATAAGCAACAAGTGTATAAGCTAGATAAAAAGATGAAAATTATTTTGAATAATCTCCCCCTATTATAAAAAAGAGTAATAAGTTACCACATTCAAATATTCAATATAATATTTATGGATCCAAAAATAAAAATTCTAATATTGTTTCTACTGACCATAGAAATAGGGATGAAGGTAAGAAAGGAAGTTCAAGAAATAAAAAAGATTTAGATCTCACTAATCCTTATAGAAGTTATAATAGGGAAGTTCAATAAATCAATAAAATTGTATAAAGTGGTAGTAGATCATAGAATCATAAGAAAGATAGAGCTTATGTTACTAATTAGAATAATCAATCATTTGATGCTCTATAAAATTCAAATTAAATAGCAAAATAAAAAGTTTATCATATTGGATTTTATGAATGATTTAAATAAAAATTATTTATATTTTTAATGATAAAAAGTTTAATAGATTATAAAATATTAAGTTATTATATAATTAGATAATATTTAACATATAAATACTATTAATCTATACATTATTTCACATAATAAAATATTTTATTAACTTCAAAATTTAATAAGAAATTTCTACATAGAATGTTAATTAACTTGATACTTATTAATATAATAAATTTATTATTTTTCTATATGGAAACAGGAGGTCATCGAATAATATAAATATAATCAGAATAAATGTTAGTATTTTTATATTAAAGTAATCAGATTATACTACTAAAATTCATTTGTAGTGTTATCTATTATAAAATTAATAAGTTATTTAGAAATATTAGTCATTTTGAACTGATTTATTATAAAATATTATAGAATTCAAAAATTTCCATATCTATCAAAATATTGATTATTAAATCAATTATATCTCAGATTTAGATCAATAAAATCATAAATATAGGGCTGATTAAATATCCAGGCTTTTAATAAAAAAGTAATTCTTTTAATATAAATGATATTAACATAAATTAAAATCATATTTAATGAATGAATAATTAGATAAATGATTAATAATTTGTATTAAATATTTCTTATTACTATTTTTATTTTAACATCACACATGTACTAAAACACCTAAGAAATCAAACTATTGATGATTTTATGAATAAAGAATGATGAATTATTGTCAAATAATCAAACTAAAAATATCTGGTTTTGATATCAAAAACTAATAAATAATAGTACTTTTAGATATAAGGATAGATTCAGCTAAGTTCAATATTCAGTATTAATTAATTTGAGATTAATTACAACATTAATTTCTCATTTTATTAAACACTTTGTCATAATGCTTTCTTAATTCAAATTTTCTCATAAAAAGATTAAATATTGCGATAAATTTAATTCTACATCATTATTAATTCAAATTTAACCAAAATTAATTAATTACATTTTGAATTTGATATAGAGTAAAAATTTTACAGTTAGAAGTAGAATAATTTTATATTCTATTGCATAAACTTCAATATAGATTAATTATACTTATAGATAAACACTTAGAAAAGAGTAAAATATAGAATTTTTTCAATATTATTAAATCTAAATCCAAACCTCTAATTGTAATAGGTATTTTATTTTTTAATCTTTAGTTTTTAAAGAATTAATAACAAAAATGGATAAATTACATTTCCATCTTCAAAATAAAGACTAAAAGACTCTTTTCAAGAATATATGTCATAAATATTTTTGATTTAAAAAATATTAGTAACCCTTAGATTCTTGCTCTATGACAAAAGATAAAGTTGGAATATAAATAATTCTACCGAAGTTTGTGAAAAATAGTTAATTTATCAGCGTGATTCCTTTTATTGATATCTTAAATTTTTTATGATGAATAATAGTTCAAATAAACTAATCCAATCAAAAGGAATTGATCAAAATATTTCAATAAGCCTTCTTAAATAGTTTGCATCAATTTACTATGTGTATACCATTATGACTATGTTTTTTCAATACTTTATATTAAATTTAATTACTTTATTGACATGATTCGATAAATCTCTGACTTAAAATAAATTAATTCTGAAGTAACCAAATAATAATAAAAATAGCAATAACAAAAGAAAGAAGAAATATATAAAATATTTGATAATTCTACCTATGCATTGTCAATTGTGTTAAATGATAAAGAGGAAAATCAAGCATCATAAGTTTTGGATAGTTTATCAATATTATTGGATAATATGTAAAATTAAATAGAAACATCTCTAAATGAAAGAACATTTTTTAAATATCCAACATACTCTATAAAAAAATTATATTATAGAAAAATGGATAGTTCAATATCTTCAGGTAATAATTCTGTATAGTCATTTTTAGAATCAGAAAATTCTTAGAGATTTATTGAGCAATAAATTAAAGAAACACAATAATTAGTAAAATGTTCATAATTATCTAGCAAATGAAATAATAATTAGGAAATATACTAATTTTTGATATATAAAAAGAGAGTCAAACTAATAACAATTGTTTTTTAGCAGCATGTTAATCCATTAAGAACTCAAGTTTTTGTTTATTAATATTTAGATAAAAAGATAATATTCATAAATTTATCAGGACTTGATAATAAAGATAATACATACTAATATCAATTTGAAGTCAAACCTAATTATGTTTATGTCAATTTCAAAGAGTTTAAATAATAGTATAAATAAAGTTAATGTTATTGTGGTCAACTTAATGAAAAAAAATTTTTTAATATTTATTTTAATTATGGAGAAAATCAGATGTTTTAATGGGATTAATTTAAGTTAATATATAGATTACATATTAAGAAATTGATTAAGAAAGTCAATTCAGATTTATTTATATTATCAATAGCAAAACCCTTGGGATCAAAAGTAGATATTTTTTAATTTTATTTAGTCTTCATAAAGATATATAAGATTTGATGATGGTTGTTTACAAAGAATCATAGAAAAATTTTGTAAATTGGCTTAAAATAAATTATTTATTAATTTAATACTTTTAGATTTAAAAGAAACATCTCCTTAAGAATTGAAATATAAAACAAATGATTAAGATATGATTAGATTTTTAAATTGTATTTAATAAGGAGCTATAGGTAATAAAATACAATCAAAAATTAATTTTGATTTGGATAAAGATAAAAGTTCGTTATCACTTAAATATATTATTTGGTTATAAGAATTTGTTAATATTTAAATAAAGGTTAAATTAGATCCAATATTCTTAAAAATGTATTAAAGAGAATTAAGGAATCTATTACTAAATAATACATTTATACAATCTGAAGAATATTTATCAGAATCAGCATTAATGATTTTGAATACGAAATAAATTCACAAAGAAACTAATTTATATTATGAGAAAAAGAAGTTATAATTCTTTTTTAATTCACAACTATTAGTTGATTATTCTAATAAATTAGTGGTTCTTTTATAATAAGATGAATTAAAAAAAAATCAATATTTTTTATATTATAGTGAAATTTAAGAGGATTAATAGATAATTTAATGGTATTCAATTATTATATTAAGCAATCAGCTAAAGAATACTTCTAAATGACTATATTGATGATGCATTATTGTTTGATTCACAAAAGAAAGCAAGTTTATCTGTCAAAAACATGAGAATAATACAAAAAAATCAATAGTTGATATATTAAAAAATGATATATATTCATTCTATAGCCAATGACATAATTTTAGAGATATAGTGTTTTGGTGATAAATAAGTGAAGATATTAAAAAGGAATAAAGATTTAGATAGGGTTGATGCTGAAAAATTCTAAAAGCAAAAAACTATCATAAGGGATTAATCTATAATATCAGATTTAGTTAAAAATAGAAGAGGTCCTTGTGTAGTATAAAATTCACCTATTTCAGAAACAGATTTTATGATTATTGGAGGAGAATTTTAAAAGTATCATTTATTTAATTAAAAATAGTGATCCAACACATTGCAATATAATAGAGATAGTAAAGTTAGATGAGATGAATTAATCAGGATTTCATTCATATATATTATAAAAAGAATTACTTTTTGCTAAGGGATCATTTGTTCCATGGCCATATATGCTTGTATTGTCATCCAATTAATAACCATATTAATATATTTTTTTACCTGGAGATTATAAAAATTAAATTAATTGTTCTAACAAACCTATTGTAAATGTTTATTAATATTATGCTTATCAATTGACTACTTTAATAGATAGTTTTTAATTTCAATGGAAAAAACTAAATATTATTTATGATAATTCAAATTTAGGTAATTATTAACCTTTTCCTATTCAATATTTTTCAGGAAATTAAAGTAATGTATTATGTATGGTGGATTCAAAGATAACTAAATGGATTATTGCTAAAACAATAAATAAGTAGATTTTATTCGGATCTAAAGGAAAAAAGGAATTCTTCAAATGTTTAGAGGATATAGATTCTAATGTTTCATTAACAGATATTGAATAAATAATAATAACAGCTGAAATCTTTATAAATGAGAACAATTTAATTATCAAAGAGAAATTTTATTAGACTGGAAAAGAAGTAATTCTATAGAAGAAAATTGTTGATTTTACGAATGAAGATTTGATACTATTTTGAGAAAGTTATAAGAACCCGAGTAAATTAAATTATTATATATAAAGTAAATCGATTATTATTCAAATTTGATTTCATAAAATATTAATATTAATAACTCATAATGCCCATCTTGTTCTATTTGTGTCTTTTCTTGTATATCTTTTTGTTTTTGTGGCAGCAATATGTCTATGTCTTAAGTATTTATGATTATGATATTTGAGGTCTTTCAAACCATAATCACCAACTAACCAAAGGAATCCTTAATAATCATGAGTTCTCAAATAATACATAGCCTTTCTTCTATCTGCCAATAATTTTGTAAGTGTCAAAGCACAATATTTATCTTACCTATTTTTTTCCATGTGATTCATTAATGAAATGACTCTCTCATTTAATACAGCAGCTTTTACTAAAGCACTAGCAGTATCTAATGGCCATTTTTAATATTTTTTAATTGCTTATTAAATTCGATATGCAACAATTTAGCTATCAGTAGCATTGTTAAGTCCAAATGCTTTTTAAACTAATGGACTTGCTTCTTTCATTTCTTCAGGTTCAAATCCATGTTAATATCTTAATGATTTTAATAAGTAAACAATACCTTTATCCCAAAGTCAATTTAAAATCCTTTACAATTTATTATGCATTTTCTATTGGTGATTCTTTTTTATAGATTGAATGTAAGAATTTATGAGATTTTCTAACATAAATTTCACTATCTAAACCTCCTTTAACTCTAGAAAAGAATGCCACACTTCTCAATAATTGCAATTATTTTGTAAGCATATAATAAAATTATTTTTAATACGTGTAAAACAATGGCTCCTACTTAAGAGTTCAAACCTCTAACCCATTTCTTAAGACCATAATATGTGTACTTGTCTTTGGCAAGCTTAGTGTTAATCCATGTGTTGACACTACTTACAGAGGTTCCTGCAGGTGTTTAATTAGTTGTTTAATCTTTGGCTTGTCTCTATATTGGAGCTATGGCAACATCTAAAATCAAATATAATAAATGTATGTATTCAAATTAAAAAATAGAAAACAATAAATTAGAAAAGGAAGAGAAATAATCAGAAGAAAAAATGACATAAAAAGATGCTTTACAATTTCCAATATATTTATCTGCCTATTTATTTGGACTCTATCTTTTATTAAAATATTTAGATGAAGCTATTCTTAAGACTGCCATAACTTTATTCTTTTCTGCAGTAGGAGTAATAATATTCAATTAAATTAAAAGGTTTTATGTTTAATGGGAATTATAGAAGATGCAATTGAAAGATTATTCCCTATTGAATATTCTACTAAAATAGTGATAGATAAGAAAATTAATCTAAATCTAATATTGACAAGCAAGGATATAGATATTAAATTAACTAAGTTAAATTTCATATCATTATTTATTTCAATGTTTCCCTTGGCTTTTTATTTAGGATCTAAGAATTGGATTTGTAACAATTTATTTGGTATTGCCTTTACAGTTTCAGGAGTTGCAAATTTTACTGTTATTCCAAATTTCAAAGTATATAATAATTATTATTATATAGATTGCATATTTAATGCTTTGGGGACTCTTTTTTTATGATATTTTTTGGGTTTATGGAACTGATGTGATGGTTACAGTTGCAAAATCTATTGATGCACCAATTAAATTATAATTCCCATTTACTGCAATGAATGATGAAGGAAATCCATTTACAAAATATAGTATATTAGGTTTAGGTGATATTGTTGTACCTGGTATTTTTGTTGGAATGTGTCTTAAATATGATGTTGATAGACAAATTGAAAAAGTAAAAAAGATTTCAGAAATAAAAATTACTTATTTCTTATGGTGTTTTGTTGGTTATGCTATAGGTATTGTAACTACTTTGGCTGTTATGATTTTATCAGGTCATGCTTAACCAGCTCTATTATTTTTAGTACCAGGATGCACATTAAGTGTTTTAATTAAGGCTTATCTTGATAAATCTCTTCTTCAATTTTGGGCCTATGAAGCAGATCCTGAAAAGCCAGATGGTTAAACATCTAATACAGATCCTATTAAAAATAAATGATATATTGTTTTTAATAAAAATAATTTATTTAATTATGGACGATTAATAAACAGAAATTAGGATGATGTACAAGAATTTAACTACAGATTTACGAAACAAATATAGTCCTCATTATAATCTTTATTAAGTACTATTTATTTTTTAAATAGAAATAAACTTTAGATGAAAAAATTAATTGTTTCAAATAAAATTCATAATAGCCTGAATTGTATTATAAATGTTTCACTACTATTGATGAAAGAATGTAATCAAACTCTGTCTAATTACAATAATCATTCAACAAAATTGAAATTGAAGATTCAGGATGCTAATAAAAATGCAAAGACTCCTATTAATAGGATAATATTAAATAAAATATGTGTCTTAAGAAATGTATGGAAGATTTAAGAGACAAAGCTTTCAAATTATAAGATACCTTCTATTAGGCTATATTAAAAAGCAATCCTGAATTTAAAAAGATTAAATGAGTAGTCCTAAATTGTTCATATATCTATATCTTATTTATTAAAACATAATTTCCTCATATACAAAAATGTTTACAAAATAATAATTATTCTACCTTTTTATAATCCTTTTGAATACTTATTTTTATTCTCATCTTATTTTGATAGTGTTCTTAATTGTCTTTCTAAAAGAAAAGTAAAAGAAATATATTCTTTTTAGTCTACTTTTATAAGTATTCCCATTATTTAATCTTCTCCCATTTATATCTCAATGTAAATATTAACATAATACTCCATAAGAGTAATTACCAAATTTATAATAAATTTTGCATACCTTCATATTGAAATTGTGTAACTCATTTATTTTATATTTCAATTCATTGTCTCCATGGACAAATAAATACAATTTTTTCATTATCTATACATTTCTCCTAATATTTACATACTATCTTTTAAAGAAGGTTAATATAAACCTTTGTTTTCTTTTCATCATCAATCATAATTTTTCTCATATTTTTTCCTCAGCAAATAATGAGTTAAATACATACTCTTATATAATAATTATTATTAAATCATCTTAAGAAATAGAATACATAAATTTTACATAAAATTGGATGCTCTAAGAACATATATTATATATAAAATTAAAATCCTCTTATATTTTAATTATATATATATTTATAATAGCTAATACATTTTATATTATGAATTATAAGTTTATTATAATAGATGGTTATTTAATTTTAATATAAAATATAATGCCATAAAATGAATATGATATTATTATTATACTAAAAATTGTAAGTTTATTATGATGATTATTAACAAGAATATCTAGTGTTTATATTTTTAATTGAATTTAAGATATTTAGTAATAAAATTTATAAATGGAGAACACATTCTTAGATGATGAAGTTTAAGATTTTAATACATGGGACGAGTATTCAAATCAAATAATCTTCCCTTCTCCACTTTTGTTGGGTCGTCCTTCTCCAAGAATTAAACACATCCAAGAGGATTTTTCATTACTTCAGCTACCGTTTTAATCTGACACTATAGATGAGGATCAAGATCTTAATAATTCCTTTGAACCCGTATAAAGAATGCTTAAAATGACCAAAAAAATAGAGAAAAAAACAAACAAATTTAAAAAATAATCGAAAACAAAAAATCCTATCTTAAATGCTGCAAGAGATTTCTTTTCTTAAGTCAAATAAAGCAATCCAAATCAATAAATCTAACAATTCTAATAGATGAAATAATTAATTGATAACTTGGAAGGAATCTTAGGACAAGTGAAACATTAACTTCTAAACTAAGTCTAATAAAAAGGATCTCGAGTATGATCTTATTTAGTTATATGTCTAAATTATATATTTAATAGAGTTGATAATTTCCTATAATCATTTTTATTATTGAGTTATACAAATAAAGGGTAGTATTGAAGTTTAATTTACAGCTGTACTTGCCTTTAATTTATTCCTGTAAAGAATAAAATAAATATAAATAATTAATATGGAAAATATATACTAAAACCATCAGATTATGTTCTTACTCTAAATTTGGAATAGTATATTATAAGGTATTTCTTAGAGAATGTGATTAATTTAAAAAAAGTTAGGCATATGTATATTTTGCGTTTACTTTTAAAATATTTAAAACCTAAATAAATGATAATTAGGTTTAAATCAGATTTTTAAAGTAATGATGGACAGCTATATTTATTTTAATAAGAAAATAGAAAATATATACTTAAAATAGTAGAAATCATTTCTTTATTATCTTTTTTTGACATCTGGACGGAGTGATGAATAAAATGAATTAGAAATTAAAAATTAATTAAATTTGGGGGCGTTCCCAACGTTTTTTAATTAAAATAATATTGCTGACAATATTTGATACATATATTATAATACTAAATGGAAATTAATCATTTGATAAGCAATATGTATGAATAAGAAATCGATACTGAAGAAGATTATCATAATCAAAAGTAATGGGATAGAAATATGCATTTTTCATTGTTTGGATTGCATAGTCCTGAACTTTCAGTAATTGAAAATTGTTCAAATTATGGAAGCTAGTTTGATCATAACTTTTCTTAATATGATAATTCTGGCACTAAAGACTCTGAGATTGATATTTGTAAATCTAACAAAAAAATTCGTAAAAGAAAATAAAAAAAAAGTGGTCTTCTTAGCAAAAATGAATTTATCAAAAGTTTTCAAAGATTAGAATAATGTCAATCCATGTAATTTTTTTTGGATTAATTATTTCACTCTGTCAAAACAATAAAAGAACATTTATAAAATAAATTTGTAAAGGTTTATAATAAATGATATATCTAAACTTTCTATTTAGATATTGTGATTTATATTATATATACACATCATTAAAATTTCTATTTAACAAAAAATAAGTTTATCTGCTTTTAACTAAAATTATATATTAAAACAGTAATAAGGAATAAAGAAGTATATAAAATATTTATGACTAGTGAAAATATTTTTAAATCAATAGAATTAAGATTAGGGTTTTGTTCATAATACGTATAATAATTACAAAGGAAATCATATAATTCGTTGTATTAATCAAGTTTTCATTTTTTCTTAATATTTTTACATTTCTTTTCTATATGAAAAAACTTCAAAATTATATCCATTACCTTTATAAAATTTATTTTAAAATTCAACCCAATGTAGTCTTAGAGCATGTAAAAAGCATTCCATTGAATCCATACATAATAAAATACCAAAAGTAGACAATAAAAAAACAGGCATTCCAATAAGAGAAGCAAGTAAATTAGCATTAGCAAGTGGATCTTTTAAAGTTAAATCAAAAAGGACTTTTGCTAATTCAGAATGAGCCAAAGACAATGCCCATAATCTCAAATAACTAGCAGTATTACTAATACATCCAAGTGCAAATTCTAAAGTTTCTATTAGATGTTCAACAATAATATCTATATAAGATGAATGTTATGATTATTCAGATATAATATCATCATTAGATGAATCACTATTCATATTTTAAGGAACCATTTCAAATTCTTATAGATTTTTAGGATCTTTCTTTTTTCTTCTCAACATAGAAATAATATCTGCAATTATTGGAGCAAATAATAAAAAAGGTAAACATAAAATACATGTAATTATTATGATTTTTTGTAATTAGTATTGTAAATCTGCAGATTCAAATGTTTTAATAGTAACTTATCCATCATGCATCCACATATCAACTAAAGTTGTAATTATACTTGGTGCTTAAGATGTATCTTAATAGAATGTAGACCATTTAATTATAATTAACATTACCATATAACCAATAAATAAAGTGAAAAATATAAGTCTTGCTGGAAAAATTATGAAAAGATTTATCCATTTTTTAAAATATAAGTAATTAAATCCTGAACATAATATTCCTAATAACATTTAAGAAAATCCAATAATAATTGCCAATTTCATTTTATATGAATTTCTAAAGTTTAATTCTTCATATTATGGATCAATTCCAAAAGGATATGTACAATCTGTTTAATTTAAACATGATCCAAATATATTTAAAGAAAGACCAAAATATTCATTATAAATAAATCCAGTATATAGAGAAAATGCTCCACATAATAACAACATATATCTTAAATCAAAAATTATTTAAGTTAAATTAAAATCATTATTTAAATCTTCATCATTAAAATCTTTTGAATTTATTTATTTTTTTATTTATAATCCTAATTGAATCCTTTATTCTCTAAGTTTTTTTTATTCTGATCTAGGAGAAAAGATTTTATTCATAGATAAAAATATTCCAAATATTAAAATAGCAGCTCCATGACCAATATCTCCAAACATAACTCCAAATAGAAATGGAAAAGTAACTATTGAAAATATTGAAGGATTTATTTCTTTATAATCAGGAATTCCATAAGTTTCAGTAATTAATTAAAATAATTTATTAAATTAATTAGTTTAAAAAAAGGTTGGTGGTTTCTAATTAACAATAGCATTTTTTTTAATTTAAGGAGCAGGAATATGAGGATTCTTCAATTTAATTGTTTATAAAATATCTTCTAATAATTAAACTTCACTTGTTCTAACCCATAAATTTGCAAGAAAAATACTTTATTACATTTTTACTTTATTTAAATTTTCATAAAGAGTTCTTTCTCTTACTAAATAAAATCGGATGAATAATAATGATGGTTATGCATTTCCATCTTCTAATAAAGGTTTTAAAATAGATTATAATAATTAATGAGTCAATTTATCCATATTTTCTATTTCAACTATTTCTTTATCATAATCATTATATCTTTAATCCCATTATTCTTCTGTTAATGGCAATGAAATATGATCTACTTTCAATACATCACATAACTTTTTTATTTTTCTCCATGTTTCTGATTATAATGAAAATGTTGGAAATATTAATAAAAAACAGCTTCTTGAAACAGATAACAATGTTTAATTAACCATAAAATTACCTTTTGTTATACGAAATACAGTTCTTTGAAATATTTAATAATCTTTAGCATCCATTACTCCAACAAAATGAGTAAATTTCTAAGATGGCATCATACCTCCATGTTAATGATATGATTTAATCATTTATTCATCAAAATCTAATGCAGTACTTGATTTACTATGAAAGTAAGCTATTCCTAACCATCTCCTTGCATTAATCATTGCTTCTTTAGCTTCTATAGTATTTTATAGTTTAGATTTCAATCTTGATAGATTGTCAATTTATTATTAAACTTATTAATATTTTCCAGTTATATATTCCTCAATTTAATTTATAAATGTATGTTTTTGAATTTACTTTAATGATAAGACTCTCTATATTACAAATATTTTCATACATCAAATTCTTACAACATCAATTTAAAATCATAAACATGTTCAATTGTCTATCCTATTTGATTTAATTAATTGAGTAAATACTCTACTTTACTTAATATTTCATCACATCTAACATTAGTATATATTATTACCTTTGGACTTAATTAATAAAGGGCTTAGATAGTAAATGCTATTGATGGTCAATTATCATTACACTATCTATCTATCCTAATTCACTCATAACATCATAAGAAGATTCTCTTGGAATCAACAATTAATAAAGACTCATGCCTTCTGATCTAATCATTAGATGTTATAAAAAATTATAAATATAATAAAAATAGAATTACTCTTTTTCTTAATTTCAACCATTATTCATATATACCAAACATATCATTCATTAATTTCTAATCTAATATAATAATTTTAATATTAATCTATTATTAATGTAAATATATCATTAAATTAAAACCAATTAGAAAATGGTATTGATAAATATATATGATGATTCCTATTGGAAGTTTGGAAATATATTCAAATTAAAGTAGTTGTATTAATTATATGGAAAACTTTAAAAATAGAACAAATTAATCTAATAAATAAGAAATCATTAAAATACAAATAATATTTCAATTAGATCCTAACTCATATCTAAAATATTATCATTTATAATAATTATTCATTTATATTTGTAGAAATAAATTCATTTTTAGAATAAACCTCCAAATTATTAAATATGAAAAATTACAAACTGAAATTAAAAGAAAATGATGATTTTGTATAAATCTACTTTGATGCTTTTTCTAAAGCAATTTAAGGATAATAAACTGAGAACTTTTAAAGAAATCATTAGAAAGTACATGATAGTTTCACTCTTTTTGAAGATTTATCAATAATATTGAAATTGTATAGTCTTCCTAAAATTTCTCAAAAAAAAGGATTTTAAGATATTAGTATTATTTTAAAACGAACCTATATAAGTATACGAAATAGGTATTAATTAAATTAAATTAAGATATCAATAGTATTTATAACATCTAAAAAACTAAGACTTTGAAAAGATCTATTAATTTTTATAGAAATATGGCATTGATGGTTAACTCAATTTTTATCTTGAAAATGGTAATTGTTGGAAATTGAAGGATATATCAGCTATTTTAGCATCTCCAATATATTATTTAATTGAAACTCCAATTAAGGAAATCAAAGAAAATGTGTAACCTTAAAAATATATATCTAATTTAAAAAGAGATAATAAAGAGGAATAACAATCAATTGAACCTTAGGTTAAAAAGAAAATAAAGTTTTAATTTTCAGCTAAGTATTCTATTAATTAAAATTAGTTCAAAATATGATAAATCAAATAAAAAATAATATTCATTTTAATCTGAATAAACCAATTTAAATATAGAATAAAAATAAACAGCTGAAGAATTAAAATATACTTTAAAATTATTGTCCAATTTTTTAAATGTATCATATAAAGATCTTGTTTAAAAAATGTATTAATGTTCAGGAGATCTTAATACTCTTTTTAGAGTATTTTCTAATAATTAAGAAAGTTTACTTTGGACTAGAGAAGCTGATGAAGCATTAAAATCATATTTAGAGTAGAATGACAATTTAGAAAAATAAAAATTAAAGGCTATTTTAAATGGAGAAGAATAAATACAAAAAAGAAAAGAATGGTTATTTGGATGAATTATACTAAATATAAAACAATATTATCATTATTATTTTTATTTTCTTGATGATAAAATAAATTTAATAAAGTAAGAACTAAGAATATATAAATATTAAATATTTTATTTAACCCTCATTTATTGGCAGTAGCATCCATTTTAAGAATATCTGATGATAACATAATATGATTTCTAGATTCAGCTAAAATAGCTGAAATTTCTCTTGCATACTCAATTCTTCTAACATCCAAAAATGCTAATTTATATATAGAATTATATTATACCTGGATTAGTCAAGGCAGATTTTCCTACTAATTCAATTGATTTTGCTTCTCCCAATGCCTTAATAACAATACTTTTCTTGGCTTCTCTTGCTTATTCTACAACAAATTTAGCTCTTTCAGCTTCTTATTAAGCAACTTATTTAGCTTCAATAGCTTCTAAATATTCTTTTCCAAAAGTAAGTTCTGTAATTGAAACATCATCAATTGCAATTTTGAATTATGCAGCTCTTTAATCCAAAGCTTATCTAATTTTAAATGAAACTTAATCTCTTTGACTCATTAATTATGATGCTGTATATTAAGCAACAACAGATCTCATTGTTTCATTTACTATAGATGGGAGTACTTTTTCATCATAATCAATTCCTAATGTTCTATAAATGGTTGGTAATTCATCACTATATGGTCTATGAAGTACTCTAAGAGTAAGAAGAACATTTTGCATGTCTATATTATTAATTAAATAAAATAATACCTCTATTAGCTGTACTAGCTTTGATTTATCTAGGTCTGGTTTGGATGTTGTAATCGATTGGGGTTTCAAAATATGGAATTCTGAAATGCCATCCTTCTTTGTATTTTTCTTCCTAAAGACCAAAGAATTTGCTAAATTTAATTGCACAATGTCCTGGCTCAACTGTAAAGAAACAGTTCTTAATCAAGAAAAGACCAAACAATCCTGCTGATCCTAAACTTATAAGCCTTTTTGCTGATTCAACTTGAGCAGCCATCTTTTGTTATATTATATTTGTGTTGGAAATTTAATTAATTAAATTTAGGTTTATATATATTTAAAATATATTAGAAGGTAAAAATTAAACTATATATAATTATAATTATATAAATAAAAATATTTAGTTAATTTTATTATTTCTATTTTTCATATTAATTCAATTGAATTCTCATATAATAATCATAAATATTTGTTCATTAGACGATTAATTATTGAAGTTCTTATTTTGCTGATTAATTTATATTTTTTGTAATTCCTTATTAATATTATTATTAGATATTCATTTATTGTAATAATATATTTTACATGATATAATGTTTTTATATTGATTTAATATATATAATTAGATTTTTAAATCTAATCAAAATTAAACTGAAAATTTATTCCAATTAATATTAAATTCTAATCTTCATTAAAATACATGAATTAACATATTCAGAAAAGGATATCATATTTTATAGAAAGTCTATATTATAAGATATTTTAAATAAAATTATAATGTATTTTTATTAATAAAATCATATATTAAATTAATGTTTTTTGTCTTTTTAATAGCAAAAATATACTTAATTAAATCTTAGAATTGCTATCCATTTGATGAAAAAATCATTCTGGGAGATTATTATTATTCTAAAATTGAGGGTTAGACAATGGTTATACTTTAATATAAATCGTATGTATTATTGATATATTAAAAATAGGAAGAGTGTTAAATATATTCTCAGATTAATAAATTAAAATTGAGATTTGAATCAATATTTATTGAAAATCTCATTTATGTTTACACAACCAATATCTATTAGAACTAATCATTATAATTTAACAAAGATTATAATATCAAATTGGGTTAAAAATCTTTAATTTTGAGATTACCTTTAAAAAATGGAAATCAACCATTTTCTATATTAAACCATTTTAGAGATTTATAAATATTGATTTAAAACTCATCTCTAAGATTTGAAACATAGAAATTAGATGTGAGTAGTGTTTAGATTGAATCAATAGCATTAATTATAATAAATTATTGTAATATAAGTTAGATAATATAACATTTGTAGATCAATCTAGATTTTTGTTGGTTTTGATTGGTGATTAGAATTGTAAGTATTAATTATAGCATTTAAAATATGATACTTTTATATCATAATAATCAAATAGTTAATAAATAACATTTTTAAAGGGAAATAAGTTTAAAAGTAATTATAAAATTGAATTCTAAATTAATAACTCTTTAATAGCAATATTTACATAATGATAATTTATTGTAAACTGAATTAATATATAAATCATATCTACTTTAATAAAATTATGGGGATAATTGTGATCCTTATGGTCAAAGAATAAGTTTAGGATATTATTATAAAAATTATGATAAATTAGATAACATAATAGATATTACATATAATACTTAAGTAAATTTATTAATATTTTATAGTCTTATTGTCCATAAGGATTCTTACATATATTTGATTAGAATGGAATAGATTAATGGATTAAGATTAAAGAGATTAGAATTTTGAATATGAGTAAGGTTTATGAGAATTCAAATTCTGCATTTACTTATGTGAAATATATAAATATAGTATCATTGAATTCTTATGTAATTCAGAGATTAGGTTAAATATACTATTATGAAATTTATGAAGCTATTGATATTAAAAGCAAATAATATTAATTCAAGGTACCCTTAAAATAATATGATAATAAAGAACATAAGATAATTTTCTTTGGAGATATGGATTCAAATTGGACTGGTAATAAATCTAAATAAACTTTTGATTGGTTTTAATCAATTCAATATAATTAAAGTGATTATGATGTATTAATATTTGAGGGAAATATGGAGGAATCGGAATTTTTTATTTTATTAGAAGATAGAAAATAAAAGAGTAATTACTACCTTGAATTTTTAATAAAATTATATATAATATTAATCAATAAAATTAATAATTTCATTAAATCTTAAATATTAATCTTGAATAATAATAATAATTCATTTTAATGATTGCTTTTTTAACTAATTTACATTCAATACATATTATCCTGTATCAAATTTTCGTTTTAAACCACTATCAATCATGTATCGAATATTTCCAAAGATCTTTCTACCTGTCCATGGTCTATCATGTTTTCCAAAACACCAAGCTACTCCAGTATATCCATTTGCATCTCTACCATCTAAATGATATTTATCATTCAAATAAACCAAATATTCAAATGCTTATTATGGAGATTCTGTCCATTCTATTACCTTTTTTCCCCAATACATTCTCATATATCCACTAATTTTACCTTTATGCATAGCTTCAAGTTATGCAGAATTCCAATATACATCATGTGTTTTTGCTTTTTCGAATTATTCTAATGTATATATATAATCTCTTTTATCTTTAGCATGTTCTTTCAATGTATTTTTAGCCCAATCAGGCAAACCTTCATATTTATCATATAATTCATTATAATGACAAAAATTCATAGATAATTCTCTCCTTACTATCAATTCTTCTAAAAATGATTCTCTACTTTCTGATGCTGGAAATTTCATTGCTTCTAAATATATATATAATGGAGATATCATTCCAAAATGTAAATAAGGTGATAAATTAGATGTTGCATTAAGTGATGGATCATTTCTGTTTTTAGAATAATTTTTTAATTTTTTATTCAAAAATTCTTCCAATCTAGTTTATGCTTCTATTTCACCTCCTTTAAATTATTAAACTATAGAAACACTTTTATCAACTCCTAAATCATCTATTACTTTTTAGATGTTAGATATATCATATTCTTCGAATGGTAATTTATCCATTTTTTTTAATAATATTTCCTCATTCAATTCTTATGAAAAATATTTTATAAGAGATTAAATTTTGGGTCTAATAGTTTTTGCTGCCCATTCCTCTTTTTAACTTGCTTATTCAACTGGTACTAAAACATCTGTTTCTACTTATATAAATTAACAATCAATAGTATCTGCTACTTTTTTTCTCCATTATTTTTAGATACGAAGATATCCACAATCAACTATTAATAATTTAGCATTTTAAGCAATAGAAATTGCTAAATCATCTGGAGATTATTTAGCTACTCCAAATAATATTTTTCTATTTGCAAGACTAGTTTTTAGTTATTACAATCCTTTATTTTTTTAAGACTATTTAAATACCCTCTAACATAAAATGATAAGGTCTTTGATTAGCAGCAGGATATTTAGTTAACCCAAAGAAACAAAATAAGGGTATTTATTCTTAATTTGCCTTTTAAATAGCCAATTCAAGAGCATGATTGTATTTGGTTCTCTAACTTGCTTATATCCAATAAGCAACATATTTGCCTTTAACATTGACTTTTTTATCGTTCAAGTATTTAATTCGCTCTTTCATATATATATATATATAATAAGAATATTCTTATAAATTAAAATGATTAGTAATTAATTATTTATTATTCATTTCATATTATTAATTAATATTCCAGCCTAATATGATACTTATTAATTAGGAGAGGGTAATAATTACATAGCCAAATCAAAGATTCCATATTTAACACATTCTAATCTAAAAATAGTTGTAGCTTAACATAATTTTGATAGTATTTAAAGTGTTTAAATTAATGCTTCTGAATTCTTACCAGTGAAATAACCCAATAATCTTTTTAAATCTAAAATAATTCTATTACTGAGTATTTAATCAACTATATCATTTTTATTATTAAGCATAACTTATTTTTTATCATAATAAGATAAACTTTTGATTTCTTAATCATTTAATATTTTAGGATAAATTCTCAAATCACATATATATCCAATAGGTTAATCAAGAGTTCCACTATTTCCTATATATTAAATATCAAATGATGAAACTACTTTACTAATTTAACTTTCATAAGCACCATTTAAATAGAGATATGCTGATTCTTAATCATTGTCAAATATAATTACAATATGATTCCAACCAGAAAAGTTCTTTTCAGAATTCTTAGGTTCAAAGAATTTATATCCATATCCATCTTGACTAATATTGGTAATACCTAATAATTAAGAATAAGCATCTGAAATAATTAATGATGTAAATCCATCACTAGAACCTAATAAAGTACGAATTTAATAATTATTTTAAGCACCTCTTGCTTTACTTGTTTCAGGATTAAACATGACCATCCAAAATGATACTGTTATTTATTTTTTGTTAATTTTTAATGGTTCTTCTAATTAAAGTACTTGATCTCTATCAAAAAAACAACCACAACCATCATAAAATAATCCTTAATCTATAGTCAATTTAGTTGGATCTCCATATATTAATACATTATTCATATTACTATTATCAAATAGATTAGTAGAATCAAATTTAATCCATAATAATGTATCATCAAATCCTTCTAAAAACATATTTACTGTTCTTAAAGCTTCTCTTTATTATGTAAAACATTCTGGCATTCCAGCTATATCCACTAACATTTATACTACATCAAAATCTCTTTTATTTTCTTTTATTGTTTATACTAATGTTTATTTTATTTTGAAACTTAATGTACAAAAAAAGACATTAAGAGATATTTCTTTCATTATTTCTTCAGATTATTAATATTTATAAGATGAAGGCATTTAACAAATATTACTAGGAATAAGTGATAGACCTAATTTTAATATTCTACAAGTTTCTTATGGAACTTACATATATTTCATTTCAGGAGGAATTTCAAATTGCTCCTTATCTTAACCTAATTTTTTAGTAATCTTTTTTTCAAATTTTTTTCTTTAATCATAAATTTCTCTTTCTTTTAATGTTTTATCTCTTTAATCTTAATAATGCTAAAAACATTTAACAATTAATTGAACTAATTCTAATTCTGGATTCTTAATAAAATCTAAATGTGCTATCATCATAACAATTAACAGAAATAGAATTTCACTAGTTGGATTATATTATGTAGAATCTAAAAATATTTCTTTTGTTAATTTCTTTATGTATTCCTTTAAACTTATTGAATTAATTAATAATATTAATGTGTAATCTTTGAGTGTCAAACATGTAAGCATCTCTAACATTTATTATTAACAATCATTAAAAATATATGGACAATCCTCCAATATTTAAATCAATAAAATGGTGATACATTAAAGTGTTAATTCATGTTCATCTGCAAAAAAGAAATGTAAATCCCTCTTCAATTTAAGTAATATACATTTAGCCTTATGTATAAACTATGCCTTATCAGGATTTGGCTTCTAACCCTTACCAATAAGGTTTATAGTTTATTCAAGTCTTGTCACAAGTTAAAATTCCTAATCTGCTTTTGGGTTTACTTTCTATCTTAAATCTTTAAATTGCTCTATATATTCTCTCCATGGTTCATCTGAAATCAATTCATCTTCATCTGTTGTTAATTATTGATTATGTTTCATCTCTTAATTTTAATCAACAAAATAGAAATCAATATAATTTAGGATCTTATATTTTACATATTTTTAACAAACATATATGATCATCACATTAATCCAAATCCTTCACTATTTTCAAAGGCAATCTATAATTTTACTATCATTTTCTCTGCTGATTCATATTTTGGTAATAAAAATACATTAAAACATGTATGTGCTGATGGTAATTATTCAGTGTCTATAAAAATAAAAATATAAATATTATACCTTCACCATGCTTTTAAATAACAAACTTCAATGATTTTAATCCACCAACAGGGACTCTATCAGATCCTGTTGAAAAAAATAAAAATCTCTTTTATTATTATTCATCTAATGAATGAATATATGCCCAAAAAGTTCTTATATATTCAGAATTTTTATCATATCCATCATATTTAGTAGATTCTTCCAATTCTTACATATTTAAATGTTTTTATCCTAAAATCATAGTTTGTAATTCAGCTCCTGTCAATAATTTTATACCATTTCCATCTACAACTTTCCAAAATCCTGCATGAAATCTTTGGAATTCTTTTTGGATTGATGAATTCAAATAATATTCAGTACATAACTAAATGTATTATTGTTTATTCTTCTATGTGACCATTATTTATTAACCATTTTACTATTAATTAAATTGAGATTTACTATTAATTCAACATTCAAGGCTTATCCCCAATTATCATATTCTGTTATTGAAAAATTAATTGCAAATGCTTCTTCAATATCATCCTTTTCATATTCATTCAATAAATTCAATGCTTTATAAGTATCTAAATCTAATTCTTTAAGATCTTCAAATGAAACTGGTTCATTCATTAACTTCTTAAATACTAATTATGGAAAATTTATATCCAATAAAACTTAAATTATATTATTATTATATTTATACCTTAATTATACAAAGCTAATCCTAATAACATTCCTATTAATTCATATTTTATAGGCATTTCCATATGATGTTTATTGAACCATAATACAGTATTATTATTTCTTGTAACAAACATAGTAAATTAAACATCAAAAAGTTTTTGAGTTAATAAAGAGAAAAATTCTCTTGTCAAACCTCCTTAATCTATACCTTATTCTCCTTTAAACACTATTGATAATCTAGATTTTAAATTAATTTCTTTTCTTGAAAGTTATTCTAATGCACTATTTACAATATCATTTCTATCTATCAATAATTTTAATGAAGGTGCAAGTCCTATTTATTGCAAAATAAAATCACCCTAATTCCTTTGATTTATATTAGAATCCAAAGCTAAAAGTTAATATTTAAATTCTATAGGAATTATCCATGGATATAGACAAAATGTAAAGTAATAATTCTCAAATTATTTTTTATTATAACAAGCAAATTATTTATATTCCAATAATTCTCCTTAATGCGGATATAGTTTTGTTACTTCTTTTATAATGAATTTATCACTAGCAATTCTTTTAAGTTTTTCATTAGATTTGTAAAATATTTATAAAAATTCAAGTAATTAAATTAAATAATTGATGTCTGTCTTATATAATAATTAAATTGTCTATTATGACTATTATTTAATAAAAGATACTAAATTTTGAATTGAAACTTCAACTATATTAATAAATTATTATGTTGGAAGTAAAGTCAAATATTAGGATAATTAATTCTTACTCTATTTATCCAAATTCTATATAAATTCAAATAAATTATTTTATTTTTCACTAATAATTTTACTAAAACAATCAAATTGTAAAATGATGAATATTGATCTCAATTTAAATGGACTAGGTTCTTTAGATCTATATAAATTATTGATCCAACCTTTCAAAACATATACAGAGATAGATTTATTTATTTCATTTATTAAATTCATATTTAATGCAGGATTTTCATTATTCATAAGTATTTATTCATAAGTACCATTAAAATCCTAAATAAATGAACAACCAAAACTATTTGGATATTCTGACAATTTGCATATTTATTATATAAAATCTTCATCTCTTTATTAAATTGGTTTCAATTCTTATTCAGAATTAAAACAAACCTCATTCCAATCTATACTATCTTCTTTAAAAGATTCAATAAGAAATTATTATAAACTAGCTTTTTCAAATTGTAATTGATTAAAAACTGGATTACTATTACAATAATTTTTATCACAATAAAATTTACCACATCCTTTAAATGCTTTATTAAATATATATTTAAATTCTTCTTAAGAAGATTTCTAATATAAAATTGATATTTACTTTATAATCTAATTATTCATATTGCCATTTTCCATTTTCTTAAATATCTATAAAAATTAAATCAGCTTTATAATATCCTACACTGTAATTATCATCTAAAATTAATCCATTAAATTTTCCATTATTTTATTCTAATTGTTTTAAAGCTTAATTAGCGGGAAAGTTTTTATGCTTCCATAATCTAATGTTTTCACAATTTAATTAAAACTCACTTTTTAAAGCTGATTTTATTAAAATAATCCATTATTTTATCAAACATTTCTCATCTACTTAGATAATACCTCGAGTAGAATTTTAAATTTTCATATAAATTTCTTACTAATATATTAATTAAAATGTCTTACTCTTCTTAGATTAACATTTGTAATTGGTTTAGATTTTTCATCAAAAGTTATCTATCTAAATATTGTTAAATCAGATCCAAATTCTAAATGCCACATATTCATCAAATCACTTCCAATCTATAATTAAATTGAATATTATACTAGAACATAATCTTCTGGATCTAATTTTATTATTTTCTAATTAAAAGAATGATTATTTGGATAGTTGAATACAAAAATTTCATCTGATTTTAAATCAGAATTAATAGGTCCAGGCTTGAAAATAAAGATGTTTGCTTACTTTTTACTATCTTTAATTGGAATTATAGTATTAGTTTTCATAATACTTTACATAGTGTTTCCATTATCGAAGCCAAGTCTTAGAAATTATGAATAATTCTAAAGTCTTATTTGAAGCATTTTCTAAATTCTTGTATATTAATCAAGAAATATGTACTTTGATTGTTCTTTAGTATAGTTGAATCTATTAATAAGTAGAATTCAACATGTTGGGATTCTAGAAAAGAGAGAACAAATTTTGCATTATAAAGAAATAAAAAATGATTATTAATAATTATTTTCAATATATATTGATATCATTCACGAATTTAATTATCTCTAAATTCATGTTTAAATGTAATAAATCTATTTTCTAACTTCAATCTCAGTTAAATATTAAATGCTTGATTTAAAAATACAATCTGTTCATTCCTTTTATTTTCTTTTAAACTTTCATTATCTTACAATTCTTTTTCAATATGATTAAATTTTCCTCCTATTTATTGTTCAATTTCTAATATATAATAGAATTCTTTACTTTACAAACTCATAATAATATTTCTTTTATATTCATCTTGATTAGGTTAATTAATTATTTATTATTATTCTAGTTGTTATTCTAATAATTCTTAAGACATTTAAGCTAATTATTCTTTCTTTTCTGAAAGTGATTACCAATGACTTATTTATTTTTCATAATCAACTATTTTATTATAATATATTTAATGTTACTTTATTTCTATTGAAGTGTTTCAATTTCATTTTCTAAACTTTCAATTTTTTATTTATTTTCCTTTAATTTCTCTTCATATTAAATCTTTTCTTATGTAACTTCTTTTAATTCTTATTTTCTTGAATAATGAGAATTCTAAAATCAAAATAAAATATACAAAAATTTTCTATTTTTCTTAATCAATGACAGAATTTTAACTTTAAAGATAATTATTTTGATTCTCTAATTCTTTATTAGTTTCTGTAAGTATTTAATTTTATTCTATCAATTTCTTTATTGTTTCATCTTATTCTAAAATTTTATTTTCAAGTGTTGTAAACTATTTCAATAACTTGACCGAATTATTTTCTCTATTTATGAAGTTCTCTTCTTCACTTTTTTCTATATTAAATGTTTTCATTACTATATTTTTCAAGATCCTCAACTAATTATTAAAAATCTCTCCTACTTTGTGTGAGATTTTTCTTTAATTATTAATTAATTTAGTCCAATTCCTTTTTATAATATAATATCATACTTTCACTTATTTTTCTAACTATTCTACTTTTTATTACAAAGAATCATATTAAGTTTTACTCTCTAAGAAGACAATCTCACCTGAGTCTGATGTAAGTAGATCCTTTTAATTAATCATATTTCTATATTATAATTAATGATTATTGTGTAAATAATTAATTAAGTAATAAAATTCTATAATATGAAGAAATAAAAAGTCCATAAATTTAATTCAAGCTATGGACTAATAAACATAAATAATATATATGTTTCTTTAGTTATTATTTATGAAACCTCAATTAACACTTAAATTTTTTATTTTATAGTATTTATAACTACGTTTGCATAATTCTTTATCTATATAAGATTTTAATTATACAAAATCTTTTGATGAATAATCAAATTCTTCAAATTTTAACCAATTTATAGCAAAACATTGAGACTTATTAATTAATAATTGAATTTAGATAATAAATCTAGTATATTTACAATAGTATTTTAGACAATTTGTTACTCATTCAATAATAAATATATATTCTAAAGATTAATATTATTTTTTTAACTACTAGCATATATAATAATCGAATTGATATAATTATATATATTATAAAAATATTAATTATGAATTAGTTAAAAGCAATTTAAAGTTCTGTTGATACACAAAGAAAAAGAAACTCATCTTTTAAATAAGAGAAATCTTATTATGAATAAGCAAAGAGAAGAAAAAGTGTATATATGGAATAAATGGATGATTACAGTTAAAATTAAATCTTAAAAAATTACAAAAGTTTTTTGCCTTAAATAAAAAAGGAACACATAAACTCTGATGGATAAGACATTTAAATAATATTGAATCATTTTAAATTGTATTAGTAATAAAATGTTAAACCAATAAATTGGAATTTGTTTTTTACTTAAATATGGGATTTTATTCAAAAAAATGGTGATATTTATGATTTATATCAGGAACTCTTTAAGAAATTATTATTCTTACAATTTCAATAATTGTAAAAATAAATATTTGAAATTTGTTACTATGAAAAAATTCTAATTTCTTTAGGCTATGAATTGCAACAGGATCAATTATTTAACTAATTTTTTTGTTAATTTGTTTAAAATTATTAATCATGTCTATAAGAATTATTTTCAAAAGGCAAATTTAATAAAAAGTAATTATAAGATGTATAATAATAAATTTAAATGAACAATACAATAGATTATGTTAATATAGATGATTTATATGAAAGATTTCAACAAGGAAATAACACAATCTGGATGATACATAGAAAATGTAAATAAACATAATAATATAAACTAAATTTTAAAATCATTAGAAGACACTTTGCATTATGGTTACATGAAACTAGAAATTTAGAAATCATAAAATTATTACCAAAATAATTACTTACTGCTTCACATCCATTCATAAATGCTAAATTAAATTAACCAATCTTAATTATTGATTTAGATGAAACCTTAGTACATTTTGAATAAGGATCTAACAAACTTATGATTAGAAATGGATCAAATTAGTTTTTATAATAAATGCATAAATATTATTATATAATAATATGGACTGCATCTTTACCAAGATATGCTAAATGGGCATTAAAGAAGATTGATCAATAAATTCAGTAATAAGTATATTATTTATTAGTTAGTATATTGATCTTTTACTAACTCGAGAATACTGTATACCTCATGAAAAAGGATACTATTAAAAGATACTTTCAATGTTGGGATAAGAATTAAGTACTCTCTTAATAGTTGAGAATGATTATCGAAGTGTAATTGATTCAGAAAAAGACTATTTACATTTGATAGATTCTTATTTAGGTTAGGATGATAATGTATTATCTCTACTAAGTAATCGTTTGACTGATGCCTATAAATATTATTAAGAAGGATTTAGTTTTTAAAGAGCAGTGAAAATGACTTAAATGAAATAGGATTGATTTATATATATATATAAATGAAATAAAAATGATCACATCTATTATTTTTATAATTTCTGATAAATTATTTGCCATTTATCATTACCTAACTTTTAAGTTCTTTGTATAATAGTTTCATAGATTTATTAATTTTTACTATAATGATAATACAATGCATATAATCCATTCACTGAGATAATTCTAACAGCTCTATTAGTTAAAAATATAGATAAATAGGATATGCCTATTGATAATGCTATAAAGAAAGCAATAGTATGAGGCTACAATTTAAAATTTAAATTATACTATGTTTTTCAAGGTAATAGCATCAATTAAGATTGGCATAATGTAATTCTCTAACAATTTCTCTGGAATACTAGCCAATTATGTTACTTGCTTTATTTTATTTGTGAATATATAATCAGCCTTTTATTAAAATTAAGATTACTTATTCTTTGTTTTGTAATACCCATAGCAATGTATATCTATAAATTTAAACTCCTATTGTAAATAAAAGTAGACCATTAATGAATTGTGATTATAAGCTTATTTCAAAGAAATCATTAAAAATGATATGTAAAGTCAGAGTTGCGTAAATGATATTAATGAGCATTTTTTAATTTTAATAATATTTTTATGACTTAAAGAATTAGATCATATAGTTTTGTTAAAAAAAATATAGATGGAACTGGTTTAGTGAAGGAAAATTCTATATTAAAAGATAAAGTACATTAGATCAAATTTTTGGTAGAAGATAATTTAGATATTTTAATAAATGAGCTTGATTAAGACTATAAACAAAAAGCTTCGATCACAGATATGTCAAATGTCTTTGTAATCATTTAAGAAAATATATAAAGATGGAAAAATCTCATCAGCACTCTTAAAAATAATACTACGATTTTGGAATCTCAATTTGAAAATTTGAAAGAAAAAGAAGAACAAATGAAAATGAAAACATAAAATGATATTCATCACATGATTGAATAGTAAGAACAAAAAATTATTCAAAAAGAAAATCAAATAGTTACATTAAACTAATAAGTGAAAGATTTATAGAATGAATTAGAAATTATTAAGTCTAAGTTACAAGACTAAATACTTCATACAGAAGATTTAATGAAGCAATAATAATAATAATTAAAGTAAAGAGTTGCATAATTGGATAATGATATCATTTAAATAAAATAACAACATTAGTTTGAAATCTAAGCTATTTTGCATAATCATGAAAAAGATAGGAAATTTTTTAAAGAAGAATTAGAAAATCAAACTAATTTGATAGAATAAAAATATAAAAAATATTATTTGGAAAATTAATAATTTTAAGAAAAGTATCAAAAGCAAATGCAATAAATTAAATAAATCAAATAACAAAGAGATAATTTTGAAAAATAATTAGATTAATAAACATAAAAAATTAAATAATATATTGAAGAATTAGCTAATGAAAGAAAAAATAAAGCAAAAGAAAATAAACAGTAATTAGAATAATAAGAAATAATTAATCAATTATAAAATAAAATTAATATAGAAGAAAAAAGATAATAAAGATTTAAAGAGTAGATTTAACAACAATAAGATTAAAATTAAATTCTTTTGTAAAAGCATGTTCATGAGATTAATCAATTTAATTATTAAATTGCATAATTAAAAAAAGAATTAGAATAAAAAGACATATTCATAACTAATCAATAATTAAACCATGTTTAGTAAATCTTAATTCAAAAAATTAAATATGAAAATATACTTGGTAATCCAATAAAGTTAGAACCAGAATAATAATAAGATCTTACTTAAGATTTTAATCAATAATACGATGATGAAGTGTAGATATAATATATGAAAAGTTTGGAGTAATAAATTAAATAACAATAAAATTTAATTCTAGAAAAAAGTCAATAAAATGCTGATATTTAGGTTAAGTATCAGAAACTTTAATAAAGTTTATCTTAATAAATAGATCAAAAAGTAAAAGAAATATAATATGAATGCAAATTATAATTAAATAAGATGTAATAGGAATATGAAAGTTAAAAAGATAAAAATATATCAGAACATAATTATAAAATTAATCTTTTATAATAATAACTATCGTATGAAGTAGACAAATTTAAGAATGAATTAAAGGAGCTTTAAAAATAAATAGAATCGTTGAATAATTAATTATAAGAAAAGGATTAAATTATTATTTATCTATCAGAATAACTCTAATTAAATAAAGAATAACAAATTAGAGATAAAAAAATAGCTGAAACTAACTACAATGATCTTTAGTTAACATAATAATAATAGTTGGAATAATTAGAAAAAATACATTCATAAAAATTGAATGATATTTTAGGTTAATTAAACAAATCTACAAGTTAATGTGACTAATTAAGTTAATAGTATTAATAATTGTTAAAAAATAATTCAGAATTAAAAAATGAATCAAAAGAATAAAAATAATCTCTTTAACAATATAAAATATAATGTGATAAATTGTCAAAAGAATTATAAATTTAATGTGATATATCAAAAAGTCTAAATGATAGAATAAGGTAACAATAAGTTGAAATAGAAAATGCTAAGTAAACCTATAACATTTTTACAAAAACAGCTAGAATTCCAACCATTACGAGTAGTGAAATCAGATTGGCAAAGTTGAGGACTTCACCTATAAGTCGTAAGTTAAGATCCATATCAAATACTAGAATATAATAATTATAAAACTTATGAATTACTCAATTTTTTTATGGTTCTATAAATCCAATATTTTGATTAACTACAACTATTTTCTATATGATTATAGATTATAACGAATATTAATATTATTTTTTTTTTAAATTATTTATAAATGAGCATATTCTTAGGATTAATTGTGCATGATCAAGTACCTCGAGATAGATATATAAGAACATTAACTGAAATAGAATAATTAATGTATGTGCATAAAGAAGATTTAGAAATTATGAACTCTGATAACATTTTGAAATTCAAAATACAAAATTCAATATTTTGGTTACCTAAAAATCCTATTTACTTAAATACAATATATTATCGTATTACAGGAGATGATGATTTATAATAAGCTATAGAATTAATTTGGGATTGTCTATGTATTTTAAAAGAGAATTTTCCTTCAAAATTAGAGCTTTATTAAGAGAATATTGATTAATTTAATTTGAAGGAATGGGAGAATGAATTATTGAGAAGATAATTAAATAATTTAAATAATCGTTAATCTAATGAACCTCTTACAAAAGATGAAATAGAAGATATTTTTGGAATACTCAATATTGCTTAATAATTATAAAATGTTAAAGGTTAAGAAATATGTCTAAACTTATTAAATTAAGTATAACCATTTTTCTTGCAAACATTATCATAATCATATTTAGATCAATTAGAATAAATAGCCAAAGGATAACATAAAATTATAGCAAATTCTTTATTAAATAAAATTTCAAAAGTAACATCTAATACAAATAATTAAATAACTTAAAGATAAAGCAACCATGATTAAGAATTAATAAAATTAATAAGATCAAATCCTCGTTATGAATAATAACTTAGTAATAGTTCAGTTATTTTTTAAATGAAAGAAACTAATGAAATAGATAGAATTTGTTTTTATTTAGATTACACACTTTAAAAAAACTAAATTTTATTAAAGTCAATTAAACCTACTATATAAACTATAATAGATAAATATTATGATGGTATAATTTTATATTAAATAAAAAGGTTAATATGGCTTAGACTAATCAGAATTAACAAAGTATTGTATATTTCACACTTTACTATGTTAAACTGTTTTGAATATTTAGTAATTGGATAATAATACAATTCAAAAAATATTTGTAATTATTGAAGAAGGAATTTTAAATTGGATTCAAAGTCTTGTTTAAATGTCAAATAAGTAAATTTATAGTCTGTTTCCAAGTACATTATTATAAATTTACTCAAATTAATAATTTTAATCATAATTAAAAAGTCATAAAAATAATATATTCTCTATGATTTGTAATAAAATGGGAATGACTGCCAATAATAAGAGTGACTAATAAAAAATTTACTAAAACATTGATGAAATAAAATGCATATCTCCTTTGTTAGCTCAATTTTTAGAATAGTTAATGTGATTTATGATTTATAAAAATTGAATAGTATTATCAATTATTTAAATTGAAAGAATTGAGAAAAATCAACTTAATATCAGTATTAAATAAAAATATTATATTTGTTATTATCATAATTTTAAAATAATATCCCAGAGTGTCCTTTTATTAATTACAGATTCAAGAGTAATCATAACTCCCTCAACTTAGAAAAGCAGTTTTCTTTTTTAAACTGCATTTACTTTTATTTATTGAAGTTTTAAATCAATATTATTATTTTAATTTGGTTACTACTGAGCACAACTAATATAAATTAAATGATGAAATACCTTTCAAATTTTATATCTATTTTAGTCAAATTCTCCATTTTTGATAGAGTTTTATTCAATTATTTAATAGCTTATTTTCCTATATTTTACCATCTAATTAAAAATAAATTAAATACAATATTAATTTGACTTCTGATAGATTTCCTAATTTCTTTAGGCATCTTGATAATCCTATAATAGTGTTATCAGTTATATCTTAATTTCCATCTCCCCAGCCTTTTAAATTTAATTCCAACTTTCCTAAATTAGATAATAAACTTATTCCATCCATTAAATTCTTTGCTCCTTCATCAGTTATACTGTTATTTTCATAGGCCCACATGTTTAGATCAAGGTTGAATTCATGCAATTGATTTTGAAGTATTAAAGCATTAGTTATATATTATAATGATTTATCTGTAATATTTTGATTCCAATAACCCCAACTAATAATAAATAACCTTGTTGAATACCCACATAAAGCTAAATTTAACTATTCTAAACTTTAAATTTTTGACAATCCATCACTTAAATCTCTTACTCCTTTATCAGTTAAGTCTGATAAATCTAAATGCCATCTGTTTTAGTAAATAAATAATACTTTTTGCTTAAATCGATAGATAGGTTTTTTTTGGGTTAGGACAAGACAAGTTCAGAAGACATCTTTTCTACACACTTATCATTTAGCTATTATTATTATTGAAATCTAAATAAACTTAAACATTTACATTTCAATCTAAAAAGGAGATTTAATTCTTTATTCACATCTAATGATTTGAGACGCAAACTTCTTCATTAGTTTATCTTTTTTTAAATTCAATTTGTTAATTTGTTTTTAAATTGGAGTTGCTACACATTCGATTGGTTCATGATATATACAGATGTCCTAGCAGACCTACTCAAAATTATGATTTTTGTTCATTTAATTAATAAAAAAAAAATGGGTAAAATAATAGCTAAAGAAGTTTCTTGAAACAATCTTGAACAATTGTGAATATATTTATTTTCAAAAAGCTTTTGAACATTAAAAAGTAAGAAATTAAAAAAACTATTATTCTTAATAACATTCATTATGCATTATAAAACAGCATATATGCACATGTTTAAGCTTAGGTTGGATAACTTCTTCCATATACATAATGTAAATCTTAATCAACAAATAACTAAGGATAATTTCATTTAAAATTACAGATATTTTATCATCATCAAATTTAAACCATTTTCCTTGTATTTTTGTTATACATATATAATGTCCATATAATATGCCTTATCCTAAATGGATAATGATTGTTGTCAATTCATAGGTCTTAGTTTACTTTTAAGCCTTAATTCGCAATTATTAAGAAAAAGGAATCTTTGTAGATACTTTAATCATCTAACCACATCTTTCATCATATTTAAATCTTTTCAAATGGATTACTAATACATTTGGTAAAGTATTTAATAACAATCTTTTATATATTAAATATATATATATATTTACCTCTTAATTGCATCCTATTTTGATTAACACTTATCACAAAAGAATTGATTTTAACCATTTAATTGTTCCTCTTTTGACATTTGTTATAAACAAGTGTTTAAACTATAATTTGGAAATAAATCTAAGGATAAATCACAATACATTTCTTCTCTTTAAGAGACTTATTATAATTTTTATAATTACTTGTATGACAATTTAAACATTCAATTTATGTTAATTACTATCCCTAAAATATTTATCGAATCCAATTATTTTGTTTATCCTTCAATAATTCTTCAATTTCATTAATAAACCACATATAAAATTCATGAGAATCTTAATGATATTTTCCATCAAAAATTTTATTTTTTGTTTTTATATAATTCATCATTTTCTTGGTTGATATTACACCTGTTTTCTATTTGTGTTTTGATATTGATTGGAATAATAATTTAGTTAAATCTAGTAAATTATTCTAATTAATTGGGTTTTGATATTATAAAATGCAATTCCTAAAGTCTTTGCAATAATACAATGCTTATAATATTACATTTGAATAACAAATGTTACTTGGCTCTTATATGATTAACTTATACATTTTCAAATCCAATTAAAATTTCTCCATCAGGAAAGTCTTATCCTAAATACTTTTCTAAATGATCATTTTAACTAGATTATGTTACTCCCATTAATATTAATTAATAAATATATATATATATGAATTATAATATTCTCATTTACTTAATTATAAATATTTGTTTTTGAAATATTGTAATTTCTTTCTGATATCTAAATTAGCTCCATAAGCAAGTATAAATTTATTCTCATTTAAAAAGGAATCAAATTCATCAATATACTTAAATATTTTAATTTGATTTCTATTTTATTGTTGTTTAGATTAAATGAAATATTCAATATTCTCTTATTTGAATTAATTCTTAATAGTATCATATTATTCCTATTATTCAATTATTTCTTTTTTAGTTTATTCAATTTTTTGTAATAATTCAGTGTTTTACTAAAAGACTTACTACTATTGCAATTGCAATTAATTGGCTTCATCAATTAACCTAATCAATAAATATATTATGATACGCATCAATTTCTTCTTAAAATGTTCCATAATTCTCTTACATATGATTTTTAAAGTAATATGATTCTGCTTGAAGATCTTTGATTCTTGTAATTATTTATCTCCAATCATTACTTAAATTACTATTCCCTATATGAAGAATTTTCTTAAAGCTTTCAACTCCATCATGTTCAGTTTTAAGTTACTTCTTAATTGCTGGAACTTTTTATTTTACAATTCTATGAGATTATGGATTATTGGTTTCAGGTAAATGAACACCTAAAACTGAAAATAAACTTTGTTGATGACTCAAAATAAGCAATCAAATTTTACGGTTCAATAATAATGCCTGCTTATTATCCATACAATTATAAATCTTTAGTTGTTCTGATTGGTTAATTATTACTTTTTGCTTTGATGCTGTAAGTACCTTTAGATAACTAGAACACTTGATTTGTTTATTAAGTGAACTATTCATAATTCATTAAATCCCAAAGTTGAGGTTAAGTTGATTTTTAATAAAATACTTTCATTATAATAAATAAAGAAGATGAATTAAATGATATAAATATTAAATTATTTTCATAATAATTATTATTTATCACACAATTCAACATAATTACCTGATAAAATCAAATCATAAGCTCTTTTAAATTCTGATCTAACTTATTAATACATATTCATTGATTTAAATTCTTCATTCTTTTAACGTTTTTGTAATAAAGGAGTTAGAATTTGATTTTTAATAAATGGATTATAAATTATTAATCCAATTTCTTAACCTTCCTTTTATACATCATTTGTTAATGAAAGTGGAACTTTATATTTTTCAACTTGGTTCCAAAGATGGAAAAATACACTAATTTAATACCCTAGATTGAATTGAGGAACTTATTTATATTGTTTTTCTTAAGTTTTAGTCCATTATTATATTACACCTTTAATCTCTTCTTTAGTTCTAGGAAATGTTAACCAAAAAATCTTTTCTACTCTTCTTCCATTTTTTTAAGTTACTTATATTATATAATCATCTTTATTAAATTTAGACAATCTACAATCATCACTAGTTTTAATTTATTATTTCAATAATAATTTTTCTTAACTCCATTAACTATATTAATCACTGAATATGTTAGGTATCAAAGATTAAGTCATAAAGAAATCAATTATCATACAATATAAAGCAAATTCTGGTAGTGCATGATCTCCCAAAATACCTCTTTGATGTGCCCAATAATTTAAGAATGCACATATTTTCTTTAATTCTGGATTAATTTAACAATACACATTCATAATTTGATCTTTATAAATATCTAGATCTTAATTTTCATTTCCTGCTTTAATTTCAAATTTAATAGAACCATCTGGGATTTAAATAATAAGATGATTGTATTGCATTTATTGTATAATCAATTTTAAGCAATTATCACCAAATTTATTCTTTATTTCATTAAATATATCTTATTCAAATAATTATGGATTATTTAGATTTCTCAACATTTAATTTACAATATCTAGTGTATGATATGGATATAATGTTTTAATATAAATAACACATGGATTATGACATAAATAAAGAGGAGTATAATGTTAATCATGGAATGTAATATCTAATTTAGAACCTCCTATTAAATGTTTTTTAAGTTTATCAATAAGAAACTCTTCTGTATTTCTTTCTTAAATTCTTCTTTTTGGTCCAATATTTTAATTTTAATGATTTTATTCTAATCTTTCTTTCATTCTCTATTCTTAAATAAGTTGATCAGATATTTTTAATAAAAGTAGAATTTGTTTAATAGCTCTAATTTCACTATTCTAATTAATATAATTATTTGTAAATACTTTAATTTAGTCTTATGAAAATAATTTTGGTACAAATTTCTCTAACTTTATTTTAAAATCAATGTTAATTTTTTTTCTACTTTCTTCATTAATGTGCATATTATCATTAACAAAAGTTTTAGTAGTTTCATCAAGAAAATCTTCATCATTTTAATCATCATCAATAAATTGATTAACAGGTTAATCTAAAATCTCTATATCAAGTTCATCCATTTAATCCATTACGCTTAAAATTCCTTATAATATATTATTGAATTAATAAAATGTATTCTAATTATTATTAATAGTTTATTTCAGTTGGAATTAATTATTTTCATTAGAATTTATACTTTTGATAAATTAATAATATATATATAAATGAGTGATCCATACGATTGGCCATTTCCAAATAGAAAGGACTTAATGTATTTATCCTCTATAAGTATAAACTTAAAATTATAAATTAGATAAACGAGATGTAGGCACGGTTAGACCTGATAAGTTAACAGGATAAGATTTTAATCTATAAACTAAAGACATTGATGGTAACTGAATTTTCAAAGTAGGTGCATCACCATGTATGAAGCCATATAAATTTACCAATAAACCAGACTTTACAAATACAACTAATGATATTGCAGGCACTCGTTCTAAGGTATTGATTCCTTAAATTGGAAGAGATGTATATAATTTTTGATTATTTGATAGGGATTCTCTCTTAACAATCGTGATATCAAAGGTGCTTATCCATAATTAAATAAATTTCAAACAACAAGACCTCCAACTAATCCTGTAGATCCTGTTTATATTCTACCGAAAGCTGTTCCTGTAGAACCATTGCAACCAAAATTCATTAGAGATTAAATAAATATTGATGTATAGCGAATAATAATGAAAAGGATATTCCAGGAACAAAACCAAATCCTCCAGCAGCTAAATTGAGAAAAACTGTTCATATTTTTGATGAAGTAGATGGAGCTAAATCAAAACCTGCATTCATGCCTAGAGATCATATGGAAATTATGGATGTTAAAGATATCAATGAATATAGAGTATTTAAATCATCTCGTGTGACAAATCCACTAGAACCTGAATATCAATTAATTGATGTTGAAGGATAACCAGCTAATTCAAAATATGGGTTTGTTAGTGGAAGTAAGAGTAGAGTCTTACATCCATAATTAAATCATAATACAAAGAATTTAGAAACAAAAGACATTGAAGGATGTCATGTAGGAGCTATAAGTGATCATTTCTTAATGAGATAAAAGAGATCTCAATTTAGAGTCATTAATGATACTAAAGATGTACCTGGAGCTTAAGTTGGTACTCTTAGAAAAGGGTTACTTAATCATAGAGGCACAAATCCATTGACACCTGAATATCAACTTTTAGGAAGAAATGAAATATATAATCAAAATATGCCTCGTACTGCATTTGAAAGTAATCGTCAAAATCTAGGAGGAGAAAAACCAAAAACTTAATAATCATTGAGATCAAATTCATTAAATAAAATAGAATAACCATTATCCACAGCCTAAAAATTTGATTAGTTTATAAAGAAATGAAGTATGATAGTAGATATCATAAAAATTTTACTAGTTCTAATTATTAAATGGATTCAGAATGTAATTTCTTTTCTTGTTCATCAAGCCATTTAGTTCTTTTTCCTTCTTCCCAATATCCTATTTTGCGATCACCATTTGTACAAATACCAATACCATTTTACTTGCCTAATTTGTATATCAATTTACCATTATTCCAATTTGATATCATTTTCTTGCCATCATTCCAAGTAAATTCACCAACACCATTCTTCTTATCATCTTAAAAATGCTATTTAAATTATCTCAAAATTACCCCCTTAAATACCCTTCCATCTGGAAACATCAAAACGCCATAACCATTCATTTTAGACTTTTTCCATTATCCTTTATATACTCTTTTATCTTCCCATACCATTGTTCCTTATCCTTCCAATTCATTATTAGAAAAGTCTCCCTCATAAGTAGTACCATTTGAGAATTTTAAAATTCCTTAACCATGTTTTCTACCATCATTATAAAATCCTTCATATGTATTTCCATCTTACCATATTTCTTTACCTTTTCCATGTTACTTATCATTTTTCCACTTATTTATATGCAAATATTAATACATTTCCTTCATATCTTGCTCCATTTTTACACATATAAACACCAAATCCATTACATTTATCATCTTTCCATTCACCCTCATAGAAATCTTCATCTTCTAATATGAGTTTGCCTTTTCCACTAAGTTTCCCTTCCAGAAAAGATCCAGAATATATACTGCCTGAAGGCCACTTAAGAACTCCTTATCCATCCTTTAATCCATTCATCCATTCCCCTTTATATGTAGTTCCATCAGAAAATGTAATTTCTAAATGAATTAAATCAATACCTTCTAATTGAACTCTCTACATTTTACCAATTGTACTTTAAATGAGTAAGTTCTCCTTCTTCATACTACCAATGCTGGCATCAGATTTACCTTAATCATTATCAGCGTTGAATCTCTCTGTTTCTTTATTATTTCTTTATTGACTTTCTTTTAATGATTTATTTTTTGATAATACAACCTCTTATTTATCATTGCCGCCTTTACTATTAATTTCTTAATCATTAGTACAGCAAGAATTACTACAGGTTGCACCCATTAATATTTAAATAATTAAATTATGATAAATAGCTATCAAAACAACTGTTATATCATTTATTGGTATTATAGTTATCACTCTAGCTTAAATTGATTACTTATGATAACGTCGAGCCTGATTACACATAAGAATGAAGTGTAAAACAGGGGTAGGTATAATATCATACAAATAATCTAAAAAACTAATTATCAAATATATATCATAATATCATCTATAAATATATCTAAATATTCTTATATTTTAGATATGGAGAGTTCCAATCAAATATTAATATTATAATTGAAAAGATTTCAACAATAATTTAAGCAAATTTCTTTAAAAACATCAGAGTTCATAAAATTTAATTTTGCAATACATTTAAGGATCTAGATAGATGGTTCAAAATTATTATTAATATATATTCATTTATTATTAAAAAGGTTAACTTATTGCTAAAAATTCAGGAGTGTATTGGCTATCTTGCTATGAAATTAATTTATTTTATTGAGGAGGTAAACTAAATTCTGGAGTACATGACAATTGCATTGATAATTGATTGCCAGGAAAAAAAGACTAATTTTGTTCACTTATTTTATTTTCTTATTCTTCATATTGAACTTCCTCTTCATGAGTTATCTATTTTATATGATTAGAATCACTATTCATCTTTAATTCAGGAGTTGAAGGTAATTTACAGATCTATCCCATCTTAATTAGTAAAATATAATTTATATTTTATCTTATAATGAAATTTTATTATTCTTAGAAGCAGATTCTAAAAATGAATCAAAATATCATCTTTAATAGTTTCTAAATTATATCATTCTTTTAATGCTATTTATTAATTTAACAAGACTTTTGTTATAAAGTTACTCTCTAATGTTCCAGACTTTAATTAATCTAAATTTTTACCCAATTTATAATATATTTTTATTCATTTAGCCTATTATTATTTTCTCCTTTTATTTTTTCATATAAAGATTATTTAGTAATTGATCTCTAAGATAGTTTTATGCATTATCGTTACTAGAATAAATAAGGGAAAATTCAAAGTATTCATGTTACCTATTATTTTAATCAAATAAATTAATGGATAATTATGATCTTAAAAAAATTAATTGATTCTTTTGATATGTAATTCAATTTATTATTCAAAAGGTAACTTATGAAATAAAAATTGATATTTTCAATTTCGCTCTACTTTTATTGTTTTAATTATGGAGGGCTGCTATAAATAAAGTAAGACAGTTTATATTAACTATCTTGATTTATAAAATATTAGGTATTTATATTAATAATATTTTGAATTTCTAATGGACAATCAAAATAATGAGGATTACTCTGATTTCTTTAAAGGTAATCAAATCTGAAAATTAGATCAGTTGTACTAGTAGGCGATGCTGGAGTAGGTAAAACACATTTAATGACCAGGTAATTAATTTATACAACAACAGATATGTGAAAGGTTGCCTACCAAAAAATGCTGTACCCACCATTGGTATTGAGTTTGCTGGAAAGACAGTCACTTTATAAAATGGTAAAAAGGTTAAGGCATAAATTTGGGATACTGCTGGCCAGGAAAGGTATAGAGGAATCACAAGCACGTATTAGAATAAAATTTATTCAGTCATTTTCGAAAAGCAGGAGGAGCTTTAGTTGTTTATGATGTAACAAAGGAGAAGACATTTGAAAGTGTTGTAAAGTGGATGGAAGATTTGCGATATTAAGCTGAACCAGATGTGGTTATAATGTTAGTCGGTAATAAAATAGACTTAGTTGAAAACAATGGAAGTGCAAGGTTGTTATATTTGGTTATACATAGAAAGGTTTAAAAAGAAGATGCTAAAAATCTTGCATAATAGCATAAAGTATTATTTGAGGAATCAAGTGCTGTCACAGGTTAGAATGTAGGATAATGCTTCGATAGATTGCTATAAGGTTTTAATTAGCTTATCATTAGAAATGTATAAAATTAAATCATTAACCCCTGGATAAGACAACCCTAATCAAGGCCTTTCATTAAACAATTAAAATCCGTCCTAAAATCCTGACAACTGCAAATGTTGACAATCCATATATATATATTAAATCCATTTTATTATAAGTGTTCATTCTATTCAATTTATTCTATTTTTTAAGAACTTATTGAGTATCTATTTATCATTTTTAAAAAAATTATATAAATAAAAGATACAAATAAATTAATAATATAACAAAAAAAATACTTTTGAAGGTCAAATACACTTATTCTTTTATGAATTCCAGAATACCTAGATATCTAGAAATAGTATTAGTTCTCAAGAATGGGACACTTTTGATTTTTTCATATAATGGCTTATCTCTAAAATTAAGATATTCTTTTATTGTATCAAATTATTCAGTATATTTATTAAGTTATAGAATTGATTTTTTAATCATTGATCAATTTAAACTTTTACTTAATATGCCAAACTATGAAAAATTCATTAAGTCTTGCTAAAATGATTAAAATATATAAATTTATATCTGTAGCTATCAACATTGCTTAACTCGTTGGTTCCATAAGCTTCATACTAAGTAATCAAATACCAATAAAACAAAATGACTAAAGAAATCATAATAGACATAACAGATTAATAATTATAGTTTTTAGTACAAAAAACTAATTATTGATGAAACCTTTATTTTCATTAAATTCATATTCATCCTTATTTAATATTTTCTTTTTTCTAAATATCAGATTTGTTATTAATTGTTAAATAGATTAATAATAATTGATTCATCATCTGTGATANCTGCTGGCCAGGAAAGGTATAGAGGAATCACAAGCACGTATTAGAATAAAATTTATTCAGTCATTTTCGAAAAGCAGGAGGAGCTTTAGTTGTTTATGATGTAACAAAGGAGAAGACATTTGAAAGTGTTGTAAAGTGGATGGAAGATTTGCGATATTAAGCTGAACCAGATGTGGTTATAATGTTAGTCGGTAATAAAATAGACTTAGTTGAAAACAATGGAAGTGCAAGGTTGTTATATTTGGTTATACATAGAAAGGTTTAAAAAGAAGATGCTAAAAATCTTGCATAATAGCATAAAGTATTATTTGAGGAATCAAGTGCTGTCACAGGTTAGAATGTAGGATAATGCTTCGATAGATTGCTATAAGGTTTTAATTAGCTTATCATTAGAAATGTATAAAATTAAATCATTAACCCCTGGATAAGACAACCCTAATCAAGGCCTTTCATTAAACAATTAAAATCCGTCCTAAAATCCTGACAACTGCAAATGTTGACAATCCATATATATATATTAAATCCATTTTATTATAAGTGTTCATTCTATTCAATTTATTCTATTTTTTAAGAACTTATTGAGTATCTATTTATCATTTTTAAAAAAATTATATAAATAAAAGATACAAATAAATTAATAATATAACAAAAAAAATACTTTTGAAGGTCAAATACACTTATTCTTTTATGAATTCCAGAATACCTAGATATCTAGAAATAGTATTAGTTCTCAAGAATGGGACACTTTTGATTTTTTCATATAATGGCTTATCTCTAAAATTAAGATATTCTTTTATTGTATCAAATTATTCAGTATATTTATTAAGTTATAGAATTGATTTTTTAATCATTGATCAATTTAAACTTTTACTTAATATGCCAAACTATGAAAAATTCATTAAGTCTTGCTAAAATGATTAAAATATATAAATTTATATCTGTAGCTATCAACATTGCTTAACTCGTTGGTTCCATAAGCTTCATACTAAGTAATCAAATACCAATAAAACAAAATGACTAAAGAAATCATAATAGACATAACAGATTAATAATTATAGTTTTTAGTACAAAAAACTAATTATTGATGAAACCTTTATTTTCATTAAATTCATATTCATCCTTATTTAATATTTTCTTTTTTCTAAATATCAGATTTGTTATTAATTGTTAAATAGATTAATAATAATTGATTCATCATCTGTGATACACCATAAAATATTTCCATAATTTATTCTATCTCCTTATATGAAATACAATGCTATATGGTAGTTTTATTTAATAATATTATCTATAATAATTAATAGACATAATAAATAATTAAGTAGTTTGAATTACTTAAGATATTAAAACCAGATCCATGACCAAAAGAGTGAAATATATTCGTATTATTTAAATCCTAGAACTATTCAATTTAAACAAGTTATCTATAATACTTTTGGTTTATTCCACAAATATATAATAATATCTATTTTTGTTTTATACTTTATTTAAATCATTAGCTTAATCTAATTATATTAATAATTTAGTGAGAACTAGATAGATTGGTAATAATTTTCTTCTTTTATTTAAATAATATCATATAATTTTAATTAATTTATAAAGAATATTTAATCTTTCTTACATTTATAAGATCCCATAAGTTATATGTTGCTTTTGTTTTATGAAATCATTAATATTTCAAATTAGTTGAATAAATATATTTTTTTATTTTGAATTTTAGTTAAAATCATGTAGTATATAAAATATATAGTATTCCTATAAAATTATATTTCTATTAATAGAATTAATTAGTTATCATATCATATCATTTATTTTTTTAAGATAATTTAATTTAACTATTGATCTTAATCGATTTGGATTTGATATCTTTCATAGAATTATAATAAAAATATAATGAATTAAAAATGAAGTGTTTAATTGAGATTTATATCATAATATATTCAAATAATAAATAAATGAATTAATTGTATGATTTGATGTCAATTATCAAGACTTCTGGATAGAGAGGTTAAGAATTAATGATAGATTCATTTGTAATTGGGTACCTTTTTGGGAAAGGTAATTTAAAAAATAAAGAGGAATTATAAACATTTGTTGAATAACTAAAAGAAATAAAAAATTAAATAGATTAAAGTCTATAATACCCTACAATTAGAGATGACTTTCTTATAAGTAATTTAGGAAATATGTAATTTTTATTAAAGAATGAGAAAAATGATGATAAAAAACAAAAGTAATTGAAAAAAAATGCAGAAAAGGCAAAAGGAAAGAGTAAAAAAATCAATTTGGCTTAGACTACACCTATTAACCCTTAATTTGATATGAAAGATTAAAATGAATTGATTTAAAATTAAGTAGAGGAAGTTGAAAAGTAATAGAGCTAAGCCAATTCTAAGAAATCCTAAGGTTAACAATTATAAAAGCCTTAATAAGGTGTGTAAACAAGATAATAATTAGCCCAATCTAAATCAGATTAATAGAAAAACGAATAATAAAAAAATGAATAACAGAAAAATGAATGAAAATACATATAAAATATTTCACATACTAGTTGTTAAATTTAGTTAATTTTCCATATATTAATAGGACTATCGTTTATTTTGTATAGAAATCTGTGTTGATTGTTTTTTTTGAAAATAATTTGGTTTAATTAGTTATTGACTTAATCTTTTTTAAGAAGTATCCACATCTGTTTTCAATTTCTAAGGTGTTGTATTCGTTTTTGGTCTTAATTTAGTTTAATCAAGTGTATTAGTGATATTTGTAATTGTATTCTCTACAGTTGAATATTTACTAATTGACTAATATATTGATGATTAATGAATATACTTAATTATCAATTTTTTATAATTAAGCAGTTAAGGATTTACATTTTTAATACAATTCTTCATTTTCTCTTTTTAATTTCTAAAATTTAAATTGATTAATTACAATAATGGTATTCTTGGTATTACTTAAAAATTCATTTCTTGATTTTTCTAATTCTTCTACTTTTTATTATAAATCATCTTATTATTATTACATCAAATACTAATCCTATAAATTAAAAATATTTGAATACTCTAATGTTCTTTCTAACTTCAGATTCATATTTCTATAATTGTTTTTCCAAACTTAAGAATTCTGATTACTTTTTAATTATAATATCTGTAATTAATTTTAACTATTCGCATGTATTATTGCATTTATAAAACTTCTATTTTGTCTGATCCTCTTCACAAATCTAATTAATTTGCTTATTTTATTACAATATTGAATAACTTTATCAGCAACTCTTACATAAATCTAAACAAAATAATAATAATAAAATATCAATATATTTTATAAATCATCCAAATAATATGAAATCTATGTAGTGTATAATTAAACATATATATTATTATTGATTAGAAAAATTAATTAACATTTACATCTCAAAATTTTAAGCTTATCAACTGAATTTTAATTATATATTTGTTAACCATATATATTTATATATATTTTTATTAAAAGTTAGATATTGTAACTCTTAGATATACTATTATTCTTATAAAATCTAGCATAAGAGTTATTGTTTATAAATATGATACATAATAAAAGTATTGGATTTATCTTCATTAATTAATCGAGAAATTTATCATAATTTGTCTTATAATTGAAATCGATGCACTAATTTATTTATTATGAAAATGATTTGCCATTTCAGCTTTTTATTTTTATTTTGAATAAAAATACTATAATAAACCTAATATTTTAAAGAATGAGTTTAGAATTTTAAATAAGTATTTTTTTGAAAAGAGAGTAGATGTCCACCTTTATTAAACAAAATTTATGAGGCGTCTAAAATTATTATAATTATTAATATTTTTAGTAGAGTAATTTTATAAAGGACTTGAAGTCAAATAGTATTAAAAAAATAAAATTGAATTAATTTATTTTAAGAAATTTTTTACAAATTGAATTTTTCAAACTTTTGAAAGTATTAATTTGATAAATCATTTTCAAATATTGTAAGATTTGAAACATTATTATTTCAAGAAAGAAATACAAAATAACTAAGTTTTACATTGATTTTATTTAAATGAATTATAAATTAACTGAGCCTCTTTAAAGCTAATTCTCAAATCTTGAAAATGTAGGATAATTTAAAACTTAAAAAGTAAAGATAAGGGTACTTAATGGGTATTCCAATTAAATTATTGTTGTAAATAAAAACAAATTCATTTCATTAACATTTAAGACTAAATTTTAATTATTGAGAGAACATTTTAATGAAAAATATAAAGTAGGTAAGCCTTTAGGATTATTGATTGAAAGAGAGAATAATTAACATATTATAATTCTATTTTCAGATGATGTTTAAATGCTATAAAATTGGAGAGATTATTTAGCTAAACATATAAATTAAAGGGGATTTCATGAAAGTTTTAAGGCTCATCGTATCATAGGTAAAGGAATCTTTACTTCAGTAGATTTGGAAGATCGTTTGGAGGATGAAAGAAGTCTTGCAATTAAAGCATTTTCCAAAGAAGTAGCTTATGAAAAAGAAAAAGGAAAGGTATATCTTTAAAGTATTTTAAATGTCTATGTTAAATGAAATAACAATCATGAGAAAGCTTGATAATCATGCTTTAATAAAATTACATGAAGTTTATGAGAGTGAGAATTCCCTTTACATGGTACTGATCTATTGGAAGGTGGCTCTTTATATGATAATGTAAAAATAGACCATAATTTAATGCATTTGAAATTGAAGTGCTTATTTTTAGTTTATTGGAAGGACTTTGTCATATGCATTAAAAAAGTATTATGCATAGAGATTTAAAACCAGAAAATATTTTATATAGTATATAAGGGTAAATTTAAAAGTATATAAGAAGTAATATTTCATCAGTATGCATTGCTTATTTTTGGATTAGCTCAACATTCTGACAAATATCCATATTTATTTAATCGTTGTGGTACTCCAGGATTCCTTATTCCAGAAGTTATAAATTCTAAAGATGGAGGAAGATATGAACCTATTTGTGATGTTTTTAGCTTAGGGTTAATTTTTTATATTTTGTAAGCTTATTTTTTTTTGAATTATAGATTAACTCTACTGGAAAACCAGTATTTCCAGGTAATAGTTATAATGTTGTTTTGGGAAAGAACAGAAAATGTGAAATATCTTTTGATGCTACACTCTTTGAAATTATTCTTGAATAAGCTTATATAAAAGAATCACCTTTAACAAATATTTTCAATAGTCCATCTGCTTAAAGAAATGACTAATAATAATGGGGTTAGTTATAACGAAAGAAATAACTAATCAAATGAAGGTAATTCTGAACAGATTAATGGAAAATCCATTAATTTAAATTAAAATCCTTTATATAAATATGCAATACGAAAATGACATGGCTAGATAGTAAAATAAGTAAGATTAAACATAATGAATACTAATTAGTAAATATATTAAAAAATTAAATTGATATCTTTATTTTTAATAATCTTATAACTTCTATCATTGTATTTCTAAAATTATAAAACTTTTAAATTTGAAACTTTGATATCTATACCAATACTTCATAATATGAATGATTTCACATCATCAATTTAAAAGGTTTTACAGAAATTTTTGGGGTGTTCTATTCTAGTAAAAATCAATTTTTGTATAAAAAATGAAAATTAATTAAAATGAGTGATAGTATCGACTTCAATGACATGATAAATTTGAATAGGTAACTTATTATAAATATGTAGGAATATTTACGGTACCTAGTAACAAAAAGAAGAAAGCAAGATGATTCATAAACCTGTGGATGATTCAAGTCTAACAATTGATAATATACTTAAAGGAAATTAGTATAATATATTAATTTGAGTAACTTAGAGCATTTTATAATCCTATGTCATTACAAGCATCATAATTGAAAGAAAAGATAGAAGAAGAATCTCAGGAAGAAAAAGTTAATTTTTTTCAAGAAGTTTAATTGTTAACAAAGATACCTGAAATTGTGTCTTTCAATTTAATTTATAATTAAAAGACACTTTTTAAAAATGAAGGCATCCCTTATGAAGAAGCTAAACATTTAGATAAAAGTATTAGCAATAATAAAATTAGCTCGAATTAAAAGAAAAGAAAGGGAATTAAAAGTTAGCGGAGCATCTGTTGAAAAAGAGATTGCTCCATCAAAGAAACAATATGTTAGATTATATAAAAATCAGATATCTAAAATTTGTTTCACTGCTCCTAAAAATCTATTGTTAATTAGCCAACATTTAGGTAATAATACTAAGTGGGAGAAACAATTAAAAATTTAAGATTTTGGTGGATAGAGACCATCATTATCAATAGTTCAAGAGAAAACCACAGGAAGATTCTATATCTATGATAACAAACAAGGAAGAGTACATATCTTTAGTTCAGATATGTTAATAAATGATAACAAGGATAAACCATTAGTCTCATTAAATCTGAATGAAGATAAACCTAGATAAGATCCATTATTATATTTGATTGAATGTGAACATGAATATTAATGGAAAAGTGTTCTTCTTGTAATTGGAGGACATCATTTATAGAGAGGAGAAAAAAAACCATTGAAAACAATAAAAGTATTTGAAATAAAAAGAAGAGAAGTTACATTAACACCTGTATTAACAATAACAATGACTAAATCAAGAATGAATCCTATAGTTTTTGATCTAATAAAAGACAAAGGTTTTATTTGGTAAGATAAAGATAATGGAGATAAAGAGAAAGTAGATGCTGAACATAGATCAGTAGATCAAAAATATATTTTTATAATGGGTGGTAATCCTTTATTAGAATATGAAAAAGAAGTTGATTAAGAATTAATAGAAGCTAATTAAACTTGTGAATATATTAGTTTAAAATTAATATTGGAACATATAGCTAGAGCTAAACTAGTAAATATATTATAATAATTATAAATAGTTTTCAATGACAGATTAAGCTAATTTAAGTTTGAATTTTGGAAAATTCTCTATTGTTGATACACTTACTATTAAGTATCAAAATATTATTGCAACTGAAAAGGTTTATAATCATTTTTATAATGCTTCAGTGACAAAAATGGTTGATGATGTATTCAAATAAAAAGCATTAATTATTTTAGGAGGCAATACATCTTAAACATTTTAAATTTAAGCTATTTCATTCAAACTTAATGAAATTACTTTAATTGGATAAACTAAATAAATATCTAAACCATCTGTTATATACTCAGCCAGTAATTTAAGGTAAAGTATATTAATAAAAAGAGATATTTTGAAAAGAAAGTCTTTTATTTTGATGAGACAGATAAAAAAGATCCATCACAGTTATAAAATTTAGAATCTAGAAGAGATAATAAGGTAGCTTGTACTTGTAGTATAATGTGAATATAAGGAAAGTTTAACTTTATAATTAATACAATGTTAAAATTTAAAAATATATACAAATTATTAATATAGGTTAAGCCAACTCCTAATCCAAATTTTCTTAAATTTATTCCAAATGGAAAATAAGTAATGGAAAATGGAACTTATGATTTCTCAAGAGCAAAAGAAGCTCAATGTTCACCACTTGCTTAAAATTTATTTAATATAAATGGAGTGACTAGAGTATTTTATGGAAGGGATTATATATCAATAGCTAAAAAAGAAGAAAGTAAATGGGATGATTTAAAACCTAAGATTTTTGAATTGATATAATAATAATATGAATTGAATGAAGATGGTTAAGAGAAATTATTGATATTTGAGGGATTTAATTAAAATTAAGACACAATTATTAATGAAGATGATAGTGAAGTAAGATATAATTTAAAATGATATAGCCTGTTTAAATGATTAAAGAGATTATAGATAATCGTATTAGACCTACAGTTTAAGAAGATGGAGGAGATATAGTATTTAGAGAATTTGATGAATAAAATGGAATTGTTTATTTATATATGAAAGGATCTTGTGCAGGATGTCCTTCTTCAGCAATTACATTAAAAAATGGAATAGAAAGAATGCTTTGTCATTATGTAGTTGAAGTTAAATAAGTGATTGCTGAAGATTATATAGGATCTGATTGAGTATATATTTAAGTTTATATGAATCAATCATCATCAGATTAATATTCTTCTTCTTCTTCATCCATTTCATCTATTTGATCATCATTAGATTAATTACTATATAATATTTTTAATTCTTAAGCATCCTCTCTTTCATCAAAAATCAATTAGAATCTATTGTTTTCTAACATATTATCATAAAATAATAAATGTTTTTTATTAGGTGGCCATGTAGACTATTCTGGAGGTGGAATTAATGTATCTATAGATAATCTAAATAAATTATTATATATAAAATTACCTGAAAGCATTTTCAACCATTGCAGGAATAATTCTACCTAATAAAGGAGAACTTAATTCTAAACAAGGATTTGTATTGATTTCAATTAAATATGGTTAAAATTTCTCATCTATCATAAAGTCTAATCCAAATATTTCAAAATTATAGTTTCTTTTATAAGGTTCAATCTTATGGTATACAGATTTAATAGCATTTAAAGTGATCATTTTTAATTAAGGGTATAAATCCTTATAGAAATTCAAATGTTCATTACTATGCCATTTATCGAGATATCTTTAGAATTCTGCAAAAGACAATTTATTTCCATTTTCATATTTACCATAAGCCTCACTATATTTTTAAATAGCATCATTAGTTAAATGTACATACTAATTACTAACATCTTTAATATCAAATTCTTCACTTGAAGTTCTTATATAACCTTCTTCATACCAATAAGCTCTAATAATATTATTTAATTAAGTTATTAAAAAGTAACATCTTATGTCAAACTTTCTTTTATTATATAAAAAAGGTTTTTCAATGTATTTTTGTATCAAATATGTAAATGGTTTACCATTAGGATGAACTTGTCTTTTACTTACAATTTTGTGAATTTCAGCTAAGGATTAACAAACAATAATTCCATTTCCTCTATTTGTGAATTCTCCTGGCTTTACAATCCAAATATTGTTTCCCTTCCTTATAAATATATCTAAAATACTTTTATTTAAAATATTCCATAAATTATTAATATTATTTATCTTTAATACCAGAAACATGGAATGTCATAGGTAAATGTAGAAATAACTCTTATTTTGTTAATTCATAATATTTCTTCATATTATGAAACATAGCTTTCTTATTACCTAAATGATAATTTCTTTCTATATGATTGTGAATCTAAATAATAATATTTTTAATTACTTTATTAACATTCTCAATTATTTTTAAATCATTCTTTTCAGCATATTTAATAAAACTTTAAATTGATTTTTCTATAGATTTTAATTAATTGACATCTTATTCTATAATTAATTTTTATATTGGATCATCAAATTTTCCAAATTTTTAACTTTGTTTATTACTTTTAGGAGATTAATGTCTTCTTGTTTTTTTTAAATCAGTAGATGTTTAAGATAATGATTTTTATCTTGATATAAATGGATCTTTGCTCCATTCTTATAAATTCATATATTATGGAACCTTAATTTATGTCCAAATAAAATTTAATTCTTTATTATCAGCATCTTAGTTTAAATTCCACCACCATCTAGATTTAAATAATTCTTTTATTAATAAACTATTATTTCCTTTTCCAACTTTAAATTTTAATTCTGTTACATTTTCAGATGGTTAAACATAAAAATTACTTTATGAAGAAACTATAAAAATCAAATAATGGTAACTTAATAATTTCATTTAAAACAATTATTCTCTACTTAATGATGAATAATCTGTTAATGAAAATCTAAAATTTTGATTTGTCTTCATATTTTATTATGATATATTTTTCATTTTATTTGAAGGTGATTGATGTCTTCTCTTTTAAACTGAACGACTATATAATTCTCTTTTTTCAGCATATGATTTTGATGTATCCCTATCTTTTTCTTGTGACATTGCTTTACTTCTAATAGATTATTATTCTTGTAATTTGAATGACTTAATTTGCATTCCCATTATTCTCATATGATTTTCATGTGCAACTTCATCAATTTTTTATTACATTCCACCTAATATATTTTATAATATAGTTTTTGTTTTATCATTTTCAATAATATGTTTTAATTTAGAAGGTGATTTTTTTAATTCATTTAGATTTACTTTTCTTTCATCAACTAAATCATCATTACTTGTTTATAGTTTATGCTACAAATACTAAAATTTATCAATCTTCTATAAAATTAATTCTTCTTATTTTACATCAGAAAAAACTAAACTTACAGTCCCATCTTTTTAATGAGATTATCTTCTTAATGCTATATATTTAGTAATATTTTAATACATTCTAATTATTATTTTTTTATTGCTTATAAAGCTCTTGGTAAAGATATCTATCTCACCTCATTTGGTCTCTATTTTTAAGGTATGTGTTATATAACGATTCTTTATTATTTATTTCTTTGCAGTTAATTATACTTATAACAGGATCTTGCAACAAAAGCAGTCATAGGATTGATTGGAGTAGGATTAAAAAGACTTTATATTTACGGTGTATTAGGAAATATAGTTAAATCCTCTCTTTACATTATTAAAACAGAAATGTATTTATAAAATAAATAAATATAATGATATAAATTTATCACACTTCATAATTAAAATTTATTGTTTATAAGAAATCATTATTTATTAAAGATATCCATTCAAATTATAAATTATCATCACTTCTATTATAAACTATATTATATAATTATAAAATATAAGTTTAATAATTCAATATTATAGATTCATAATAGATAATTTAAATATATATATATAAAATTAGTTTAAAAGAATTCCACATTCCCTTCTCTTCATCAAGCATATCATCAGATTATGAATTTAGTGAGTTCAGGAATGATACCTCACCTTGTGCTGTACTTTAATATCTGCCTGCAAGATGAAAACTCATCTACAACAGATGTTTAAGTTTTGATATCATCAATTTATATTTTAGCATTATATATATGATTATAATATTTATATATTTAAAGAACTTAACTAATTAATCAATCACCAGAAAATACAAAACATAGCTGTCAAGGATCGAAGTCCAAACCCTAAAACAAAATCCTCCTAAATATTTTAATTTAAAAGATGAGGTTTCAATATCATCATTTATTATGTGGCAAAGAATTCAAAGGTTTGTTCTAAGTTTGGTTCATAAATTTGAAATTCAGTTATCAGCTGACTTTTGAATTTGAGTTCTAACTACAGAAATGAAAAGAGATTTGACATCCTAAATTATGAAGCTGGAATCATATAAGATAAAAAACTACATTTATTAAATTAATATTTACTTTTCTCTTATATCAAATATTGGTTAGATATGAAATTATAATTATTGTAATGTCTAGCATATAATAGCATGAGTCTATTCTTTGTATCCAATTATAGTTCTTACACTGAATCTGGCATGTTTTCCAAGTTATTCTTATAGATCATTAATTGTTCCTTAAGCAATTAAAACTCCATTAATAAAAATTCCAATTCTATTGCAAATGAATAAGACATCAGAAATTGATTAAGTTGTTAATAAAATAGCAGCCTCATTGTTAATAGAAGTTTATTAAATTATTTATGAAACTTTTCTTCTAGATTTCAGATCCAATCCTTATAGTATTTCATCTAAAAATAATCTATTTGAACCTCCCATCAAAGCCATACCTAAATGAAGTTTCTTTATTTCAATTTCATTCAAATGTTGAATTTATTTTTATTTAATATCAAATATATCAAAAGCTTTTAAAAATACATCAATACTTTAATTAAGATTTTATTATCCTTTGATATTACCAAAGAATTCTAACATTTATTATACAGTTAATAATGATTTGAAAATTGAATATTGAGGTACTAAACCAACATGAGTATATTAATCTCGTATTCTTATTTTTCCATTTACAGGTTTATCATAATTATTGATTAAATTAATCAATTAAGTTTTTCCAGCATTTTTAGGTCCCACTAATCCAAATATCTCTTATTTATTAATTTACATATTTATCTTCTCTTTTGTTACAATAGTTCCATATTACCACTAAACATCTTACAAATCAATTACAGCATTTGTATCATGCATTTCTTATTCTATTTAAATGTGTTATTTAGATTCTGTAGTAATTAAAATTAAAAAATAAATGAATCCTCCAATTAATAAAAATAATAGACAAGACCAATAACCAAAAATAGCTAAGTTCAGTAGACTTGGACTCATTCCAAATCCAATATAACATGCCATATATGGTGAAACTATCATCATCAACATAGCTATAAGATATACACTAGGAGTTAATCCTGGTTATGCTATTCCTAACATAACACATAAAAATATGAGATAAAATACAAATATACTTAAAAAAGGTATTCCAAAACTGTAATTTCCTGATTTTTATTTTTGCATAAAATAATTTACTTAGCAACTTAAAGAAAAACCAAATAAAGTTATTAACAAGATAACACCAAAAAAATGAAATCCAAAATGACCAACATTATAAATCCATAATAAACTTGCAGTATAGATACCTTCAAAAAATGAAACTATCATATCTGCTGATAGAGTACTTATCCAATATGTACGAAGAGGTACACCACTAGCTAATAAAAATTATTTCATTTAAGTATTCTTTTCTTCAAATTAAAAATCAGTAAATAATACACATGTCATTGCCTTAATTCCTAAATAGAAAAAAACAAATCTAAATGCTGAAAACATACCAAACATCACAGCTAATGTAATTAAAAAATATAAAAATATATATTTTAGTTATTTCTCTTTTTCAGTAAAAATTAATAATAATTTTCTTTTAATTAAACTTTAAATTTGACATTTTAATGAAATTTAAGGTTATTATTGAAATATACCTTGAGCATTAAAATCTAGATTATCTTAATTCTCTAAGCAATCAATTGTCTTATAACAATCATCTATTTAATTATATTTTAAAGAAAAGCTACATTTAGAATTCTATTCTAAATAATAAAATAGTTAATGAAATGAATCTATTTTATTGATAGGTAATACACAAAACAAAGTTGT